AATTCTTCGGTGGCAAAATGTTTTATGGTCATTTAGGTATTTCTCATCCTTAGCACCCAAAACTGGCTCCACAGTAGAGCCTGTAACATTTCTTGAAATGGGGGAGAGGGGCTAATTGTTGCTTTAATAAAGAAAAATAATTGACTTTTTGAAATATTTACCATTTATCTGAAATCACCTACAAAAATTTAATTTACGTAACAGCAATATTTTACTTCCTTAGTTAAGATTACCAATGGATGAAAGTTCAGTTATTCTTGAGGAACTACTTTTCAAGTTTGAATGTAGCCAGTTTTGTTTTGGGGAGACTTCAATGGGAAATAAAAATCAGAGTCTGATTTAGAAATGACTTGGACGCTAGGTCTCAGCATACCAAATATTAAACTCCAGACAAAGACAACTACAGTCGTATGTGAGGTAACATGATATCTATGTGCCACCTAGATTTTTCCTCCCATCTATTTGAAAAACCCTAAATAGCCCACCATAAAATTTACTTTTTCCATGAAGTACTTTTTTATTTGGGATCCTTTAAAACTGTTGTAAGTAGGTAAGTAAGTAAGTAAGTAAATAAATAAATAAATAAATAGAGCTGTTGTATCTCCCACCTTTTCCAACAGTCTTATTTTAATCATTAAAGACAGCACCCATAATGGTTAAGCACAATGGCTTAGAAACAGATTGCTTAGGTCCTTGCACATTAGTTATCACGGTTAGTAAGTACATACAATTTAACCATAAAACAAAGATATGCAATCTGCTGAAGAATGATTCATAATTGTGTATTATATCTTTAACTGAGAATTTATTTTTTTAACTGAGAATTTAAAAATGGATTAATGAATTAAGCAGAAATGTGTTTCAGATTTCTTATCATTACAAACTTATTAAAATGGTTGCGTGTGCCCTCCCTCAGCCAAGCTTTTAAACAGCCACTGATAAGAAAACTGGTGAATTGTATTTATACAAAATAAAAAGGCTTCCTAACATCAACCTCCCATTTCAAGAACTCTGAAACTATCCAGAATCAACTGAAAAAATATTTATATCAACATGTACAAACCATTTTGAGTACCCAAGTTTTAGTTGTTCAGTAGGCAAACTGGCAAAACAGAAAGCAACGGACTTGTTATTTCTATAAAGTACTTCAAATGTTTCTCTTATAAAATCACGAAAATTGGGATCCCTGGGTGGCGCAGCGGTTTGGCGCTTGCCTTTGGCCCAGGGCGCGATCCTGGAGACCCGGGATCGAATCCCACGTCGGGCTCCCGGTGCATGGAGCCTGCTTCTCCCTCTGCCTCTGTCTCTGCCTCTCTCTATCTCTCTGTGACTATCATAAATAAATAAAAATTAAAAAAAAAAAAATTTAAAAAAAAAAAATCACGAAAATTATTTAAGAAAAAAAAATTCCAGGGGAACTGATAAAAATAAACTTTTGTGTTGAAAGAATGTAGTAAGGTAAAGTGAAACTGACTCCCTAGGGAAGATGACAGCTTATTTTACTATTAATTACCAAGTTCTCATTCACAATTAGCATTTTATTATTTTTACCTTTTACAAAGATTGCAACCTGAAACTGAAGCACCTTTCCAAACCCTGAAGTTATCTGTTCTTGGTTTCCATTCTATGCCTTTGTGTTTTAAGTTAAATTTCTGGATCTAATAGTTTAAAAAAAAGGGGGGGGGGCAAACAAAAAAGACAGCCTTTTGTTTGAAAGAGCACAACAATCAGGAGCTCCACATCTAAAGTTCGTTTTCACTTGTCTCACCATTGCAACAAATACCCCAAACTTAAGAGTACCGTGATTCCCTTTCATGTATTACACAGAAAAGGCCAAAAGTCCGCCAAATTAGAAATCTAAGTCTTTATTTTATTTATTTATTTTTTTTGAGATCTAAGTCTTTAGAAGACTACCAATCACTTTACTTTTTGATGGGATTCACATAGAAACGTGTGACTTCTGTTACTAAACTAAAACATGAACCACCATTAGCTGTTTTTTTTTTTCCTGGTAAGCAAGAAGTATCAAAGTTAAGAGCAAGTATTTCGACAAATATGACAAACCAACCTCAGAGCACAAAGTTGGCTGATAAAATTACCATCGTAGCACAATTTCAAAACTATAAGCAACCACACACACACACACACACACACACACACACACAACCGCACCCACTCTTACGTAAACTTTTCGAGTAAGCAAACTTCTTTAGCCTCACCTTTGTTTTCACCTAGCAAGGTCCCTTCAAGACAAGACAGCAATTGCAAGAAGATCAAAACATCCAAAGATTCAGTTGCTGTCCTCGTAAGACAAACAGCCAACAATTTAAGGCATGGTAACGTATTTAAGTTACCGAAGCTTAGGGCACTTCCCCAAGCTACAGCCATTTTAGATTCAGCCTTTCTTTTGAATTTCACGGGGGGTGGAGAGAGGTAGATTTAAAACAGAAAAAAAAAAAAATCTAGTTAAAACTCTTCAAGATCGACTGGTTTTTCGGGGGGAGGGAAGTAATCCGTAGGTACTGGAAACCGACTTAATCAAAATCAAAGAAAACACCTCGCCCCCCAAGAAGGACCTAAAACGCTGGTGGTCAAAGCTCCTTTTCCCCTCAGATGCCCCACAGCGGACTTACACAATTTTCTTACTCCTTAGGTTTTCCTTCGTTGGAAAACAAAAGCCCCTGGCTCTAATTTGGGAAGGAAGGAAAAAGGAACCCTTAAAAGCAAGCCCCTCAAAAACACCAACAAGCCGGAACGCCTGGAGAGGAGCCAGAGAGCCGCAGGTGAGCGTTCCGACCCGGAGACCAAAGTTGAAGTAGGAGCGCACGGGCAAAGCCGCCGCGACCTCGACTGCAGAGCTCCGCGCGCGGGGGGCGGCCCGAGCGAACCGCAGCACCGCGGGCCCTCGGCCGCTCTCCCCGCCCCGGGCCGACCTGCACCAACCACCTGTGTGAGAGCCTCCTTCAACTAGTTCCAGCAGCCGGCGCGTTGGGCACCGGGCGGAGCCCCGCGGCGGAACGACTCAGGATCCCCGACCGCTCCGTCGTCTGAAACCCCCACTCACCGGGCAGCAGCGGGGCTGCAGCTAGGGGCCAGACGCGGCGTCTGAGGGCGCGTCCCCAGCTTCCAGATCCCGCAGAGGTGGAGAGCCCACAACCATAACAAAGCTCTTCCCAAAATGGCTGCCCGGCCCACACGGCGCTGAGGGGCAGAGGCGGGGAGGAGCGACGACCGGCCCGGCCCTCCCCCCTCCGGCCCCGCCTCACACACGCCCACCCGCTCGCACCGCCCGCCGGAGCGCAAGCGCAGGAGCGCCGTTCGGGTGACCCTGCCGGCGCCCCACGCCGCCAACGTTCCGCCGCGTGAACGGCAGTTATTCCCCGCGCGGTCCCCACCCCCCCCCCCGCCGCGGCTCGGGGCAGTGCGCGGCGGCCCCCACCCCTCTGCGGACCTGAATGCTGGGCCTTCCCTCGCGCCGCCCCCGCGGGGGTGACCCGCCGAGTTTGGAACCCCTCCTCATTCCCCGGCCCAGCACGAGGGCCTGGATGCGAGTGAATGAGTGGGTGGGTGTGTATGCGTGTACCGCTTTCCCCGCCCCTTCAGCCTCGCGTACCCCACTTCTGGGCATGCTCGCGTCCCCAAACTACCCGTACAAGTACTAGCAAACCGGTTTGGTAGGATCGTGTGTGTGCCGACCCTTCCCACCTTCCGCTCCTTCCTTCCTTCCTTCCTTCACGTGCGCGCGTCGTGTTAGACTCCAGCCCCCAGCGGGATGCGCGGCGGTGGGCCTGCGCGCCCGGGGCGCACGCGCTACCCGCTGGGAGTGGTAGTTCCGCCCGACGGCTGGCGTAGCGCCCCGGGCCCGGCGCAGGGCGGGTTTGTGTCTGGAGCCTGCTCCTCTGCCGGGGCGGAGAAGCTGTTTCCCTGACCCAAAGTCTCATTGGGTGTCGCACTACGAGAAGGGGCGGCGCTGCCCTGGCAGGCGGAGAAGGAAATAAAAGTGAAAGCCTAGCGCTTACTCCGAAGAATTCGCGGTGGGCCCATCCCACACGGAACGCTGAGCCGAGTGACGGCCGGCAGCCAGGAAGCTGGTGACCTAGGATCCGGAGGAGTGGGAGGAACTGGCCGTGGCCAGCCTGGGCCTTTCGGCTGTTTTCAGAAGGACGCTGAGATTGCCTGGTGCTCTCTTCTCTGATTGACTTAGCAAATAGAAGACCACTCCGTCCGAGGTCACAGAGCCGACAAATAAGTAAAAGCAGAGGGTGACGGAAGGAATAGTTGACTTTTCAGATCAACCCTAAGCCCAAGATTGTGATCCCTACACCTACCACGGAAGCGAAAACCCTACCCTTTGTGCTCTTTACTTAATGGAGTTTCCAGGTCCAAGCAAAGAGAATGGAAGTAAAAACAGTTTTTGTTTTTCTGAGTAGTTCAGGAGCCTAATTCGGAGTAAGATGTGCCCCCATTGATCCTTGAAACCCTGTTATGGGTTTCAGTGATGGGAAGCAATTTGGCCAAGTCACACCTGCCCTAGACTCCAAATCTCTCCAACCTTCCTAAAACACCATCATTCTTGAGATTGTTTCAAGAGGTAGTTGTGCTCTACCTTCCCGAACTCTGAGGGCCAGGTTCTGCTGGCTGGGAAACCTGGAAGAGAGAGACAAGGGCCATCGAGGTACCCTACAGAGTTCAAAAGCCGGCTTCCAGAATTTTTTTTTTTTTAAGATTTTATTTATTTATTCATGAGAGACACAGAGAGGCAGAGACACAGGCAGGGGGCTGAAGCAGGCTCCATGCAGGGAGCCCGACGCGGGACTCGATTCCGGGACCCCAGGATCACGCCCTGGGCCGAAGGCAGGCGCCAAACCACTGACCACCCAGGGATCCCCAGAATTAAAATGTAAAAGAATGACCCAAGATGGAAAGCCCGGAATGGGAACCAGTCAGCTCTGGTTAGGTCCCCACCCGGACTCTTTTTCTTGTTCTCAGGAAGTGGGCGGGCACTGTCAAATCCCACCCGCCGGAAATACGTTTTCGTGAGTTTCTGGCTGTTCTTGGGGCTCAGTTTTCCATCTCCGGGTTCGACACTGGCAAGTATACTTCTATATACAGCAGAGCTGCTGGCACCGGGTGCAAATTGGGGAGTGGAGGTGGGGCTGGGACCAAGGGTTGACAGTAAGTCAAAGCCGCGGGCACTGTCGGACAAAGCGTCCTGGGGATCCTTGCGTTCTTACCGCAGGCCTTTTTCTCTAAAGTCGGCACTGAGGCTTGCAGTTAGCAACTGTTTCCTCGGGCAGCGGCAGCATCGGGCGTTTTCACCTAAATTGAGCGGATTAACCCTTGGGTCTTTGCTCTTAATTATCTCACCAGTTTCCGTCCCCGGGCTATAGGCTATCACTCTTCCATTCAACACCCAGTAGTTGAAAAGCACATGGTCACAGTACACAGGGAGTCCCCGATGAGAAGAGCGCTTTGAGATTTTTAAGGGGAGTGGTCTGGAAAGCCCTTATGCAGGTGATTTTGACCAAAATCAACGTACAGTGAACGTACAGTGAACAATCAGCGTACAGTGAGTGTGTAGGCCCTGCAGATGTGTTTGGAGGTCAGGAGGTGGGTGTAAGTGCCATCTAAGATCTCCTCAGAGGCCCAGCATAACTTACCTCCCTGCGTCTTTATGTTATAGATTGAAAGCTTTGGTGGAATACAGGATTTCTCTACCTGGCCCTAAAAGCTGTGACCTAGAAATCAGTTCAATAAAGTGTTTAATTAGGTAGCAAGTATGGGTTCTGTGTCTTTTAGACACCTCATTCTCCTGGTTAAGAATGAAACTCGTGTAAAACACATCTGGATCCATATTCTCAACCACTTACTGAAGGCTTAGGTTAGAGTTCTTAACCATTTCCTCTTGTGTACGGGGAATATAGCTAATATTTTTTGAGCGCTTACTTTGTGTCAGAGACAGTTTGCAGCTCTTTACATATATTCATTTAATTTTACAACGACCCTATGTAGTTATTTTAGTTCTTCATTTCAAAAATGAGTAAACTGCAACATGACAAAGCTAAATAACTTTTCCAAAATTACGTACCAAATAAGTGGTGGAGCCAGGATGCCAACACAAATTGACTCCAAAATCTTCACTGTAACCTAACAGGCTATAGTGTTTCTCAGCACCAAGTTGATGAGGTGGTTGTATTTTTAAATGAATTAATAGGGCACCACCTTCGGCCCAGGGCGTGATCCTGGAGACTTGGGATCGAGTCCCACATCAGGCTCCATGCATGGAGCCTGCTTCTCCATCTGCCTGTGTCTCTGTCTCTTTCTCTTTCTCTGTGTCTGTCATGAATAAATAAATAAAATCTTAAAAAAAAATAAATGAGTTAATGCAGAGTGCCTGGCTGGCTCAGTGACTCAGTGTGGGGGTTGTGAGTTCAAGCCCTACATTGGGTGTATTACTTAAAAATAAAATCTTAAATGAGTTGATGTATCTAAAACACATAGTTACAGTACTTGGTTCATACAATTGAACTTGGTTCAATACAATTGTATTAATTGCTATTATTCATTATTTTGAGCCTAAGCCCCACAGATAGGGTAAAAAAAAGAGAACAAGGGAAGCTATAACCTTCAGTTTTAAAGGTAAGAAAACAGTGCTTCAAGGAAGCAATTTACATAAGGTAACACAGCTGGGGAATTATAAATGTAAAATACAGATCTTCTTCTGTCTCTGTGCATTACTTTTCCTGTTACACCAAACAGCAAAAGATAAATTAATGGTTATGAAAAGAAAAGGATGTTTACTTAATGTATTAGTGATTTCTGCAAAACATTAATGATTATTTTCAAAGGAAAGTGTGTTATATGGAAAAAATTCTTTAGTTCCTACTTACAAAAGAATTATGCATAAAATGAAAAGTAAGTGACATCTTGTTTTATTGCAACATGTTTCTGATTCAGCTCCTCCACCTAGATGTAAAAATGTATTAATCAGAACTGCCTGGCATCTTCCTGAGCAAGACTTTCAGTAGTACCCAGTATGCTTCATTTCATCCAGAAGTTTCCTCAAGCATCTTCAAAGGTTGGTTTATCCAGCAAATATTTGCTGGAATTGATTCACTGGGGCAATAGCAGTGAAAAAAAAAAGACAAAATCCTTATCTTTATATGTTTATGTAATAGGGGAAAGGGTGAGTAAAAAATAAGTAAAATATTTAATATTGCAAGTGGCAAGTCCTCTGGAGAACATAAAGCAAGGAAGGAGAATAGGGAATATCAACAATAGATTTAGGATTGCACTTTAAAAATAGAGTCAGTTAAGCATCTGCTTGCTTATTTATTTATTTATTTATTTATTTATTTATTTATTTATTTATATTTTATTTATTCATGAGAGAGACACAGAGAAGCAGAGACACAGACAGAGGGAAAAGCAGGCTCCTTGAAGGGAGCCCTAATGTGGGACTTGATCCCCGGACCTGGGATCACGCCCTGAGCCAAAGGCAGATGCTCAACTGCTGAGCCACCCAGGCATGTCTCGAAAGAAAGAGAGAGAGAGAGAGAGAGAGAAAGGAGAAAGAAAGAAAGAGAAAGAAAGAAAGAAAGAAAGAAAGAAAGAAAGAAAGAAAGAAAGAAAGAAAGAAAGAAAGAAAGAAAGAAAAGAGAAAAGAAAGAAAGAAAGGTAAAATAATAGGTTAGAATTCTAGGCAAAGACAAGTAGAAACGAATGGAGCTATGGAAAGTATGCAGTGTCTCTAAAGCTAAGTTGGAAAGTAGACTGCTTTCTCTATATAAAATAGCATTCCCACAGTAATTAATGCTGCTGCTTTTGCAGGTTATAAATAGCAGAGGCAGTTTAAAATGCCAAGTACTAGGGATACCTGGGTGGCTGAGCGGTTGGGCGCCTGCCTTCGGCTGAGGTCATAATCCCCAGATGCAGGATCAAGTCCCGCATCAGGCTCCCTGAGAGGAGCCTGCTTCTCCCTCTGCCTGTGTCTTTCATGAATAAATAAATAAATCTTTTTTAAAAATGCCATGTAATAAAGATATAGTCTTTACCTGTTCTCCTTTCAGATATTCCTCTTATGGGATAAGATTAGTGGTAGGCTAAACACATCACTAGGTTTCTATTTGCATGTTGTATAGCTGTTTGCTAGCCTTAGCTAGCATTAACAGCACCCTGTAGTCCAACCTTTCTGTAAAGTTTGATGTAGTAATAGAGGGTAGATGGTTTGTTTTTAAATTGTTTCAGTTTGGGATTAACTAAGACATTGTGGTTATTCGAAAATCTTTTTATCTACGGGTTTTGTTTTTTCTGTAGATGCTGAAGTACCCTTTTCCAGTCCGACTAGGAGTCAGCAGAATTGAAACACTTTCTCTCAAGACATGTCACCAGCAGAACTTTTCCCCTTTGTTTCCAAGGCCTTGGTTTTTCTCATCATTTCCAGTGTATATGAGGAAGACACAGTACTATCATACTTCCCCATGCAGCTTTAAGAAGAAGAAGCAAGAAGTACTTCCAGCCAAGCCACCAATCACCATTACTTACCTGCTTGACAGCCCAAAGCCAGCATTATATATAACTCTGGCAGGACTAATCCCCTTTGTTGTTCCACCAGTGGTCATGGTGATGACAAAGACCTATATCCCCTTATTAGCTTTCACTCAGATGGCTTATGGAGCCAGTTTCCTATCTTTCTTGGGAGGGATCAGATGGGGTTTTGCTCTGCCAGAAGGTAGTGCAGCCAAACCAGACTTCCTCAATTTAGCTAATAGTACAGCTCCTGTTGTGTTCTCATGGTTTGCCTTCCTTATTTCTGAAAGACTCAGTGAAGCTATAGTCACAGTAATAATAGGTTTGGGAATAGCATTACACATTGAACTTTTTCTCTTGCCACATTATCCCAATTGGTTCAAGGCCCTTAAGATAGTAGTCACTTTAGTGGCCTTGTTTTCATTTATAATCACTTTACTAGTTAAAGAAATTTATCCAGAGAAAGGACCCAAGAGACCTGGTCAAATAGAATAAATATAAAACTACTCTGTAGATGACATTAGCATGTTGGCTATAAGCCTTGGAATGTTTTGTTTTAGCATCACCTTTTTTCTCCTCCTGTTTAGCTTTTTTTCTCCATCAATGGTTATTTATTCTTAACAGATTATTTTCATTTCTAGAAATCTTTATTGTCAAATATTTACTTGATAACAGTTTGAAAATCCCTAACAAGTCATTTTCACTTAACAGTTTTTGGTCTTTATGAATATATATTTTAATGTTTTACTTTTTTAAAAGAATATAAAATAATAAAAATGAAAATCCCTTTTGTTGAGCCTTATTATGATCATTGAAAAAAGGCAGGCACATTCTCCTACAAGAGGAAAACTTTGTATCCATCAGTGTGAAAATAATAGGTGGTTCCGGTGTGGAGTATTCATTGTAACTGGCCCTGGGGATTGCATTTCATTTCGAAGCTCATTTCATCTGGTATAAGCTAGTTATATGAGCTGAAAGGATCTGTGGCTCTAAAGTCAGGAGGAAGCAGTGTCATGAGGGGAAGCCAGGTTCAAAGAAAAGCTGGACATATTTTCCAGTTTTTATGGACACAACTTCATCTCCAAAGAACACCAGCTAGTCAAAATAATTTTGAAGAATAAAATTACTAGTATATGGGGGATCCCTGGGACGCTCAGTGGTTTAGAGCCTGCCTTCAGCCGGGGGTGTGATTCTGGAGACCTGGGATTGAGTCTCACATCAGGCTCCCTGCATGGAGCCTGCTTCTCCCTCTGCCTGTGTCTCTGCGCGCCTCTCTCTCTCTCGCTCTCTCTCTCTCTCTCTCTCTCATGAATAAAAATCTTTTTTAAAAATTAGTATATGTAAACTAGGGAAAGTCAAGATGGAGCCATCTTTTTAATTTTTTGTTGCTTTTTGTTTTGCCACCTTGATGTTCTAACAAACAGGGCTCTTTAGTTTTACTTATTAACTCAAAAAGAAGCTTTTAATTTTAAAAATTTTTTATTATTTTTAAAGATTTTATTTATTTATTCATAAGAGATACAGAGACAGAGAGAGGCAGAGACACAGGCAGAGGGAGAAGCAGGCTCCGCGCAGGGAACCTGATGTGGGACTTGATCCCTGGTCTCCAGGATCAGGCCCTGGGCTGAAGGTGGCACTAAACCTCTGAGCCACCTGGGCTGCCCCAAAGAAGTTTTTTTTAAAACAAGCAAAAGCAACACCTTAGATTCTAACTTGAAAACTTGGTCTCTTGAGCATCTTATAAAAAAGGAAAAACATTCTAAATAGCATAAGAGTATAAATCAGTAAAGTGGGATCCCTGGGTGGCACAGCGGTTTGGTGCCTGCCTTTGGCCCAGGGCGCGATCCTGGAGACCCGGGATTGAATCCCACGTCGGGCTCCTGGTGCATGGAGCCTGCTTCTCCCTCTGCCTCTATCTCTCTCTCTCTGTGTGTGTGACTATCATAAATAAATAAAAACTAAAAAAATAATAAATCAGTGAAGTATCACGTGGTATGTTATCTTTGTATAACTCAAATATTAGTCTGGGGATCCCTGGGTGGCGCAGCGGTTTAGCGCCTGCCTTTGGCCCAAGGCGAGATCCTGGAGACCCGGGATCGAATCCCACATCGGGCTCCTGGTGCATGGAGCCTGCTTCTCCCTCTGCCTGTGTCTCTGCCTCTCTCTCTCTCTCTGTGTGTGTGTGACTATCATAAATAAAAATAAATAAATAAAAAGACAAATTACAAATATTAGTCTGAATTTCATAAGCTGAACTGTGTTTTCTCCATGTCCCCAATATCACAGAATGTGACCTTATTTGGAGACAGGTCTTTACAGAGGTTATAAAGCTAAAATGAGATTTTAAGGGTAGGCTGTAATATTACTGGTATCCTTATAACAAGGAAAAACTTGCATACCAGGAAAATGCCACATGTACATGAAGTTAGTCATCCAGATTCCTAGGAGAGAAACCTGGAATAGATGCCTTCCTTTTAGCACTTAGAAGGAATGGGCTATTAACACCTTGATTTTATTTTATTTTTTTTAATTTTTATGTATTTATTTATTTATTTTTATTTATCCAGGATTGAGTCCCACATCCGGCTCCTTGCAGGGAGCCTGCTTCTCCCTCTGCCTATGTCTCTGCCTCTCTCTCTGTGTCTCTCATAAGTAAATAAATAAAATCTTTAAAAAAAATAAAATAAACACAAGGAAAAGCAAAAATTAACATACTTTATTAGTACATTATTTTAAAAACCATATCATTACCTAGAAAATAATAAGCATTTTTACAATAATATATTTATAAGGATTGTTAGGACCTATTAAGCCCAAACACAGATTGTCTTGACATGTTTCTGCCACAGCAGTACAAAATGCCTCCCTTCACAGTGCCATTTTAGGTTGGCACCAGGCAATAATTAAATTATAATTAAATTATAGGAATATTCTGTAAATCTCTTTTTTTTTTTTTTTTTTTTTTTTTTTTTTATTTTTAAAAATTTTATTTATGATAGTCACAGAGAGAGAGAGAGAGAGGCAGAGACACAGGCAGAGGGAGAAGCAGGCTCCATGCACCGGGAGCCCGACGTGGGATTCGATCCCGGGTCTCCAGGATCGCGCCCTGGGCCAAAGGCAGGCGCCAAACCGCTGCGCCACCCAGGGATCCCATATTCTGTAAATCTCTTGAACCAAAATGCAGATTCTCTGTAACTAGAAATATTAAAGGCACATTAATTAGAGTTTAAATAATCTACAAATTATCTCCTTGACATCTTATAGATCTCAACTAGGCATCTATGACCCTTCAGACTTTAGGATACCCCAAAGAAAGGGACACAGAGCTTTCTGTCTGTACTACATAAGCTTTTCTTAATACATGCATATGGTTAAATTATGAAAGAAAGTATCCTTGTGGGTCAATCCAAATATTTTGGATGTGAGTGCTACCTGAATCTTTAATGCTTACCATCAAAGATTTTCTATCTAAATAAGATGCTGATGACTATATAATTATAATAATACACTTAAGGACTTTAGGAAAGAAAAGGAAATCAGGGGTGCCTGGCTGGTTTGGTCAGAGGAGCATATAACTCTTGATCTTAGGGTTGTGGGTTCAAGCCCCAACCTTGGTGCAGAGATTACTTAAAAACAAAATCTTAAAAAAAAAAAGGGGGGGGAGGAAAAGGGGAAATCAGGGATATACAAATCAAATCCTGGAATCACTAGATAAACCTAAATGTATGCAAGACCTTTAATATGTACGGCTCTAAACGACTAGTAGAAATAACTAAAAGTGATGGTCAGGTACACAAAGAATGTTCCTCTCAGAACTGGACAGATAACCATTCTTTAGAATGTTTCTCAAGGGAAAAACGAAAAGTTTTGAGAAGTAGTTCTGGACCACAGGCCTTTCAACTTAACACTTTTATCAATGTCTATAAAAAGCTTCATAAGTACCTATAATTCCACTGTCTCCAAACCAGGCAGTGGCTTTGTACTAAGTTCATACTTAGGATTGCCCAAGTACAAGTAAGTTTCACAAAGCTTGATAGTCTAATAAAATCCCCTCTTCCCAAAGCCAAACAGATATTTTTGATAACCATTTAGAAAATAGGAAAGAAATTTAATAAGTACATACATCTCACTGGGCTCTGTCACCCATTATATCATCCAATTGTACTAAAGGACTGTCACTAAGAACCTCCTAGTAATTTCTCACTTGCATTTTCAGCATTAAGACAAAAAAACATAAGTGAGCAAAAGCTTTTTTAATCCTGTTATCAACAGGCAAAAATTTATTTATCTATATAAACATCTATACAGATAGGTAGATATTTCCCACATGTTCCTCCCAGTATATCTGGTGCCAATAAAAAGTTTGGGACTAGTGAAAACTCCTAGCATCAAATAAAAAGGGAATTGTTTCGTTGGCTTTCTCTGTTAAGTTCAACTGTGGCCATGGAAAACTGTCTGTAGATTGAACCATGAATCTACAGACATCTTTAAACTGCTCACTGATATTCCTACAGTACTTAAGGGTCATGTTACAGCATGGTTTGCACTGGAGAAGCGTGAATGGGGCTATTTGCCAAGAAGCTTCTAGCAAATCATTTTTACAAATAGGACTCTAAGGGGAGAATTCTAGAGCATAAACAGCATTTCTATTGGTAAGCTTGGCAAATTTGTGTGAGTTCTTTAATATTTAGGATATGTTCCATATTTCTCCTTACTCAAATTCTTAGAAAAATCATTCTTTAGCCATTTATCTACCAAATACATGGAAAATTCAGTAGAATCAGAGGGTCCTATCACCAAATACATGTGTGACTTGCAGAGGGTCAGATCCTCTATTTTCAAAATGTTTCTTGTGCTCCCTTATGCTTTATATTTCATAGTACAGCAACACCTCCTTCACAACGACTGGTGATCATGTTACCGATTTCTGTCCATGTATCTGAATGAGGGTTATAAACTTCAACTGAGTCCAAGGTACCTGGAGCCAAGAAATCATGGCTGGAAGATCGACCTCCAGAAACATACAGAAGCCCATTGACTGCCACAACACACATGCCTGCTCTAGGCACTTTCATTGAGGCAACTTCAACCCACTTTTCCTGGTTAAGAGAAAAAAAACAGCAGAATCATAAAATGATAGTAAAGAAAACTGCTGAGAAATCAGATATTCTAATTCTTTTATATACTTAAATTTCAAACTCAGGGTCTAGTCATAAAAATATATATATGTACATATACATATATATATATATAAAACATTTTCTTTTTTTAATAATTTATTTATTCACGAGAGACACACTGAGAAAGTCGGGACATAGGCAGAGAGAGAAGCAGGCTCCCTGCAGGGAGTCTGGCGTGGGACTCGATCCCAGTACCCTGGGATCACAACCTGAGCAAAAGGCAGACCCTCAACCACTGAGCCACCCAGGTGCCCTATACAACACATTTTCTGGACGCCTGGGTGGCTCGGTGGTTGGGCATCTGCCTTTGGCTCAGGGTGTGATCCCTGGAGTCCTGGGATCAAGTCCTGCATCTGGCTTCCTGCATGGAGCCTGCTTCTCCCTCTGCCTGTGTCTCTGCCTCACTCTCTTAGTCTCTCATCAATAAATAAATAAAATCTTAAAACAAAATTTTTTTTCAAATGAACTTTTGAGCAGGTATAGACAAAGTAGCAAATTTAGAGGAAAACAATTGAAAAACATGTCTGTGATTAACTATAAATCATGATCAAGAGACAATCTAGAAATCCTATATAGGAAGACATTTTGTGAAATTAGTTCTATGGAATACAAATAGGTAATGCACACACACAACACAAATCCAATAAAGCTCCAAGGAGATAAAAGCTAATATACAGAATGGCTTTTAAAAAGCTTTAATATGCTAATGACCCGGGATGCGTGGGTGGCTCAGTGATTGAGTGTCTGCCTTCTTCAGCTCAGGCTCAGGATGGGATCCCTGGATCCAGGATAGATGCAGAACTCCATCGGGCTCCTTTCGGGGAGCCTGCTTCTCCCTCTGTCTGTGTCTTTGCCCCCCCACCCCCCCCCGTGTCTCTCATTAATAAATAAATAAAATCTTTAAAAAAATTTTTTTAGGGGCAGCCGGGGTGGCTCAGTGGTTTAACACCGCCTTTGGCCCCAGGGCCTGGTCCTGGAGACCCAGGATCGAGTCCCCCACGTCAGGCTCCCTGCGTGAAGCCTGCTTCTCCTCTCTGCCTGTGTCTCTGCCTCTCTCTCTCTGTCTCTCATGAATAAATAAATAAAATCTTAAAAAAATTTTTTTAAATATACTAATGACCCTTATAAATCTCTAAGAGAATGTTGCTATCACACTTGCTGAGTTATTGACCATGGAATCCTTTTTTGCAAAGACCACCTAGTGGAGTAATAATTTTTAAAACATTTTCAGAAAGGTAGTATAGATCAGGGGTTGGAAACTATAGCCTACTTTTGTAAGAATGATCTTCTGGGTTAAGAGGTTATTTTATAAAAGGAGACTATTTCAACAGTGTTGGGGAAACTGGATAGCTACATGCAAAAGAATGAAACTGGACCACTTTCTTATACCATATACAAAAATAAGCTAAAAATGGATCACAGATGTAAATGTGAGGCCTGAAACCATAAAATCCTAGAAGAGAGCACAGGCAGCCATTTCTCTGACAGCCATAGCAACACTTTTCTAGATAGGTCTCCTGAGTCAAGAAAAAAATAAAAGCAGGATGCCTGGGTAACTCAGTGGTTGAGTGCCAGCCTTCAGCTTGGGGTGTGATTCTGGGGTCCCAGGATGGAGTCCCACATCGGGCTTCCTGCATGGAGCCTGCTTCTCCCTCTGCATGTGTCTCTGCCTCTCTCTCTCATGAATAAATGAATAAAATCTTTTAAAAAAAGCAAAAATAAACTATTGGGATTATATAAAAACAAAAAGCTTTTTTTTTGCATAGCAAACAACGAAACTAAGACAACCTACTGAATGGGAGAAGATATTTGCAAATGACATATCTGATAAAAGGGTTGCTATCCAAAATATAAAAAGTACTGACTGACTCAATACCAAAATCATCATCATCATCATCATCATCATCATCCAATTAAAAAATGGGCAGAGGGAAGTTTGGGTGGCTCAGAGGTTTAGCACCTGCCTTCAGCCCAGGTCATGATCCTGGAGACCCAGGATTGAGCTCCCTGCAGCCCACATCGGGTTCCCTGCAGGGAGCCTGCTTCTCCCTCTGCCTGTGTCCCTACCTCTCTCTCTCTCTCTCTCTCTGTCTCTCATGAATAAATAAAATCTTAAAAAAAAAAGGGTAGAAAACATAAACAGACATTTCTTCAAAGAAAATATATAGATGGCCAACAGACGCTCGAAAAAATGTTCAACATCAGTCATCATCAGGGAAATGCAAATCAAAACTACAATGAGCTATCACCTCACACCTGTCAGAATGGCTAAAATAAAAAACACAAGATGGGGCACCTGGCTAGCTCAGTTGGTCAGACATGCATTGCTGATCCTGGGGTTATGAGTTCAAGCCCCACATGGGGGCAGACATTACTTTAAAAAATAAAAGTAAAACACAAGAAACAAGAGTTGGTGAGGATGTGGAAAAAAGGGACCCCTTATACACTGTTGTTGGGAATACAAACTGCTGCAGCCATTGAGAAAAACAATATGAAGTTTCCTCAAAAAGTTAAAAATAGAACTACCCTACAATCCAGGAATGGCACCACTGGGCATCTATCTCAGAAATACAAAAACACTAATTCAAAGGGATACATGCACTCTATGGTTACTGCAGCATTATTTACAATAGCCAAATTATGGAAGCAGCTCTGGTGTCCATTGATGAATCGACATACACACTGAAATATAAAAAAGAATTCATAAAAAAGAATGAAATCTTGCCATTTGCAACAACATCAATGAGGTTAGAGAATATAATTCTAAGTGAAATAAGTCAGAGAAAGACAAATACCATATGATTTCACTCACATGTGGAATTTAAGAAATAAAACAAACAAGGGATCCCTGGGTGGCTCAGCGATTTAGTGCCTGCCTTTAGCCGAGGGCATGATCTGGGGTTCCAGGATCAAGTCCCACACCGGGCTCCCTGCATGGAGCATGCTTCTCCCTCTGCCTGTGTCTCCGCCTTTCTCCCTCTATTTGTGTCTCTCATGAATAAATAAATAAAATCTTTAAAAAAAAAAAAAAGAAAAAGAAATAAAACAAGAAAATGAATAAAAAAAAACTAGAGACAAACCAAGAAACAGACTCTTAACTATAGAGAACAAACTGATGGTTACCAGAAAGGAGGTGGGATGGAGGATGGGTGAAATAGTTCATGGGGATTAAAGAATGCACTTAACATGGGATCCCTGGGTGGCGCAGTGGTTTGGTGCCTGCCTTTGGCCCAGGGCGCGATCCTGGAGACCTGGGATCAAATCCCACGTCGGGTTCCCGATGCATGGAGCCTGCTTCTCCCTCTGCCTGTGTCTCTGCCTCTCTCTCTCTCTCCCTGTGTGACTATCATAAATAAATAAAAATTAAAAAAAAAAAAAAAGAATGCACTTAACATGAAGAGTACCATGTAATGTATAGAATTGGTGAATCATTATATTGTACACCTGAAATTAACAGCACTGTATGTTAATACTGTAATTAAAATTAAAAACTTACTAAAATTTTTAAAAACTTAATAAAAATAAAAATTAATTAATTGAAAAGTAAAAAATAAAAAACCAAGAATATGCCAAAAGAAGAAATTGTATGTAGCCTGCAGGCCTAAAATATCCACTATCTGTCTCTCTCTCTCTCTCTCTTTTTAAAGATTTTATTTTATTTATTTATTTATTTATTTATTTATTTATTTATTTATTTATTTAAGAGAGAGCATGCATACATAGGAGGAGGAACAGAGAGGGAGGGGGAAAGAATCTTAAGCAGAGTTGGAGCTGAGCATGAAGCCTGATGTGAGGCTCAATCTCATGACCCTGAGATCATGACCTGAGCTGAAACCAAGAGTCGGATGCTTAACTGACTGAGCCACCCAACATCCTTAACTGTCTAACAAAAGGTTTACTAACTCCTGGTACACACTATTCCCTGAAGAAATTTCAATAAGCTGCTATAACCAAAATTACTCATAATGTCCTTCTCTAGAGAAAATATCTATACCCAGAAAACAGGAAAGCTAATAAAAGTCCTGAGAAATAACCAAGAGAGAATAGAGCAAGTTGCCAGGTAAAATAAGAGTCTGGAAATAAAGCATATGATGAATAGAGTTTACAGAAACATGAAGGGTGAACACTGATTATTCATTAATGCTAAAAAGCTAACTTTAAAAAATATATATTTTATTTATTTCAAAGCCCTAATGTGGGGCTCAATCCTAGGACCCCAGAATCATGACCTGACTGAAGGCAGATGCTAAACCAACTGAGCCACCCAGGCACCCTGAAAGTGAACTTTTTGAGGACAGGAACTTAATGAGCTTCACATCCCAGGACCCAGCATAGCACTAGCACATTACATACAGTCAATGAATGTTTGCTGATCTGAATTTAAATTAAAATCAGAGATACTAAAACTAGAGGCAATCCTTAGAAATTGAAGGATCTTTATTAAAAATTGAAGACTATTAAATCATCTGAAATTACAGAATACATCACAGAGGTGGCACAGTTGAAAAAATACTTGCATTTTATGTATTTATCTGGAGAGAGAGTACGTGAGGCGGGGTGGTGGTGGTGGGGAGGAATAGGGAGGAGAGAGAAAGAATCCTAAGCAGGCTCCACACCCAGTGCAGTGCCCAACACATGGCTTGACCTCACAACCCTAAAATCATGTCCTGAGCCAAAAGCAAGAGTCAGACACTTAACCAACTGAGCCACCCAGCACCCCCCAAAATACTCATATTTTAAAAGGGATATTCAGAAAAATTGGGGAACCTGGGTGGCTCAGTCCATTAAGCATCTGCCTTTGGCTCAGGTCATGATCCCAGGGTCCTGGGATAGAGCCCCATGTTAGACTCCCTGCTCAGCAGAGTCCGTTTCTCTCCCTCTCCCTCTGCCCCTCCACTTGCTCCTGCTCTCTTTCTCTCAAATAAATAAAGTCGATTAGGATATCGGCGTTATGTTTATCATTAGGGAGATCTAAACTTTGCTCCCCTACAGAAATGGCTCTTGACAAAAATAAAGGAGCTCATCCCACAATGTTTACCTTTCATTTTTATCAGTGTATTAGAACTATAGTTTGCGGGATCCCTGGGTGGCGCAGCGGTTTGGCGCCTGCCTTTGGCTCAGGGCGCGATCCTGGAGACCCAGGATCGAATCCCATATCGGGCTCCCGGTGCATGGAGCCTGCTTCTCCCTCTGCCTGTGTCTCTGTCTCTCTCTCTCTCTGTGTGTGTGTGAATATCATAAATAAATAAATAAATAAATAAATAAATAAATAAATAAATAAATAAATAAATAAATAAAAAAGAACTATAGTTTGCCTTTTCTCTTGAGTAACTTTCTCCTGACCAGATACATGTTTTACATTATCAAGATTTGGATCTATAAGACTTCAGTAGACTGTAAATAACAATACCATTTTAGATTTATGTATGGAAAAACCAAGGTAACTCATTAGTGATTAGCACATACTTTGAAATAAAAATGTTTGTTTCCAGCAGTATAGAAAAATTAGCAACAGAAAGTGTCCTCAGAGAGTTCATTTTCTAAATTCCCAAATAAGATCACATAGAAGGTAAAAGGAATTTGTATTTTTTTTAAAGATAAGCTGTATCTTTTTTTTTTCAAAGATTTTATTTATTTATTCATGAGAGACACAGAGAGAGAGAGAGAGAGAGGCACAGACACAGGCAGAGGGAGAAGCAGGCCCCATGCAGGGAGCCCAATGTGGGACTCAATTCCGGATCTCCATGATCAAGTCCAAGGCTGAAAGCAGCACCAAACCGCTGAGCCACCTGGGATGCCCGGTAAAAGGAATTTGAACTACCACCCAAGTTTGAAATTTGTAAGAAATAAGAATCAAAATCATGCTTTACAGTAAGACAATGCCACTCTTGTCCCTTCTATTCAACACTGTAATGGAGGTTTTAACCAGGGCAATTGGGAAAGAAAATGAGGGATGCCTGGGTGGCTCAGGGGTTAGGCATCTGCCTTCAGCCAAGGGTGTCATCCTGGATATCTGGGATCGAGTCCCTCATCGAGTTCCCTGCATGAAGCCTGCTTCTCCCTCTGACTCTCTCTCTGTCTCTCTCATGAATGACTAAATGAAATCTTAAAAAAAACAAAAAAAAAAAAAAGGAAAGAAAACGAAATAAAAAGCTTTGAGACTGGAACAGAAAAAGTAAAATGATCTCTTTTTTTAAAAAGATTTTATTTATTTATTATTTATTCATTCATGAGAGACATGGGGGAGAGGGGTGCAGGGAGAGAGAGAGAGAGAGGCAGAGACATAGGCAGAGGGAGGAGAAGCAGGCTCCATGCAGGAAGCCCCATGTGGGACTTGATCCCGGGACTCCAGGATCACGACCTGAGCTGAAGGCAGACACTTAACTGCTGAGCCACCCAGGTGTCCCAAATGATCTCTATTTATAGAAGACATGATTTTATATATAGAAAATCCTGAGGAGGGCAGCCCCAGTGGCGCAGCGGTTTAGCACCGCCTGCGGCCCAGGGCGTGATCCTGGAGACCCTGGATCAAGTCCCATGTCGGGCTCTCTGCATGGAGCCTGCTTCTCCCTCTGCCTGTGTCTCTCCCTCTCTCTCGCTCTGCATTTCCATGAATAAATAAATAAAATCTTAAAAAAAAAAAGAAAAGAAAATCCTGAGGAATACACACACACACAATTATCAGAGTATGAGTACTATAAGGTTTCAGGATTAAGATAGACAAAAATCAATCGAATTTCTATGCACTAGCAATGAAAAATCTGAACATGAAATTAAGAAAACAGTTTATAAATATCATAAGGAATAAAATATTTAGGAATAAATTAACCAATAGAGTGCAAGTAACTGAAAATTATAAAATACTGTTGAAATGAATTGAAGAAGACTAAATAAATAGACATTCAATGTTGAAGATGAAAAGTCCTAATATTGTTAGGATAGCAGTACTCCCATAATGATCTCTGATTCAATGTAATCCCTATTAAAACCAAGCTAGCTTCTTGGTAAAAACTGAAGCTGATGGGAAGCTTGGCTGGCTCAGTCAGAAGAACACATGACTCTTAGTCTTGGGGTTGTAAGTTCAAGTCCCATGTTGGGTGTAGAGACTACTTAAAAATAAATTTTTTTTTTAAATTTTTTTTTTTAAGATTTTATTTATTCATGAGAGACAGAGAGAGAGAGGCAGAGACACAGGCAGAGGGAGAAGCAGGCTCCATGCACCGGGAGCCAGACGTGGGATTCGATCCCAGGTCTCCAGGATCACGCCCTGGGCCAAAGGCAGGCGCCAAACTGCTGCGCCACCCAGGGATCCCTAAAAATAAATTTAAAAAAAATATGTCATTTATTTGAGAGAGAGAGAGCCTAAGTGAGAGCAAAGCAGGGGGAAGGGCAGAAAGAGAGGAAGAAACAGGCTCTCCACTGAGCAGAGACCTGACTTGGGGCTCCACCGTAGGACCCTGAGATCATGCATGACCTGAGTCAAAGGCAGCTGCCCAACCAACTGAGTCACCCACATGCCCCCTCAAATAAATAAATATTTTTTAAAAATTTGGGGGGGGGGGCAGCCCCTGTGATGCAGCGGTTTAGCGCCGCCTGCAGCCTGGGGTGTGATCCAGGATCACACTGGAGCCAAAGGCAGACACTCAACCCCTGAGCCACCCAGGTCCCTCTACTAGCATTTAAATGTTCAAATTACATGGGACAGACTGTATTCTATTATGTTATATTATAGTGTTTTTTTTTAAGATTTTATTTATTCATGAGAGACAGAGAGAGAGAGAGAGAGAGAGGCCGAGGGAAAAGCAGGCTCGGTGCCGGGAACCTGATGCAGAACTCGATCCCGGGACTCCAGGATCACACCCTGGGCTGAAGGCAGGCGCTAAACCGCTGAGCCACCCGGGCTGCCCTATACCTATTATAGTGTTCTTTAATTGTTTTGTATTCATTATTTTTATCTTCCCATATACATTAGGTGTTCTGAGACTCAGTTTTCATCATGGGGGTGAGGGGCAGTTTCCCTCCTACTAACAACAAGCAGTTCTCAGAACACCAACTGGGTGTTAGAGAATTCAACTCAATTCTAACACTACGTACCCATATCTGGAATAGCATCAAATTCCACGGGTTGAAGCTCAGTTTTATAAGACATTGATCCTCCCCAGTCTGTTTCTTGGGCTGCTTTTTTTTTTTTTAAGATTTTGTTTATTTATTCATGAGAGACACACAGAGAGAGGCACAGACACAGGCAGACGGATAAGCAGTCTCCATGCAGGGAACCCGATGTGGGACTCGATCCTGGGTCCCCAGGACCACACCCTGGGCCAAAGGCAGCACTAATTGGCTGAGCCACCCGGGCTGCCCATTACCTGTGCTTCTGATTGGCTATAAATCAGAGTTCCAATGGTCCCTCCTTTTCATGTTCAATTAATTTGCTAGGGTAGCTCACAAAACTCAGAGAAAATGTTACTACTAAAAGGATATAACTCAGGAACAACTAGATGGAAGAGATGCAAAGTCAAGTTATGGGAAAGGGGTGCAGAGCTTTCAAGCCTTCTCCACATGCGCTACAGTCCCCACAACTCCACGTGTTCATGGTCTTCCAGGCTTTCTGTCTGGTGGGGCTTTCTGAACAATAGTACAGGAAGGGGATTCCCAAGCACAGCATGACAGTAATCTGATTTAGGACACAGAGATCAGAGGTTAAAGAGGATGAAGCAGCTAAGATTTGCAAACAAGACTGCCAGAGGTCCCCTTGTGATTTTAGCTGAATACCACTAATCTGTGCAATGCATAAAGTGAAACTCCATGAGAACAAGCAAAGAACAAGTCATAGGAGGATATGACATAAAAAGAAACATATATTTGGCCTCTTGCCCCAGTTCCTGACACAGAACTCCTAAATCCCTGGGAATTCCCTGGGTGATAGAAGTGTCTTTTCTCCTAATGAGGCAACTCTTGGTAGACTTCTTAAATAGCTTCAGAATGAAGCCTGATTACAAGAAAGACCAAGCCAGAATTAGATGCTTGGAATGTTTAGCCCTAACCCCCTATTATGTGGGGAAGGGAGAGGGACTAGGGGCTGACTTAATAATCAATTATGCCTATATGATGAAGCCTCCATAAAGATCTCTACACTACAGTGTTCACAAAGCTTCCAGGTTGGTGAATAACACATCTATATATCAGGAGGGTGTCACACCCCAAATTCTACAGAGACTCCTACACTCAAGCCTCTTCTGGACCTTGCCCTACATACCTCTTTATCTGGCTATCCATTTGTATCCTTTATAATAGATCAGTAATAGTACATACAGTCCCTGAGTGCTATAAGCCATTAGAGCAAATTATTAAACCTAAGGAAAGGATTATGGGAACCCCCAAGTCAGACAAGTGTAAACAACTCAGTGGTTAACCTAGGGCCCCACTACTTGAAACTGGTGTGTAAAGTGAGAGGCAATCTTTTGAAACTGAGCTTTCAGGACCCCTGGTGGCTCAGCGGCTTAGTGCCTGCCTTCGGCCCAGGGTGTGATCCAGGAGTCCTGGGATGGAGTCCCACATCAGGCTCCCTGAATGGAATGGACCCTGCTTCTCCCTCTGCCTCTGCCTGTGTCTGTGCCTCTCTCTCTTTCTGTGTGTCTCTCATGAACAAATAAATACAATCTTAAAAAAGAAAAAAACAGAATACAAAGTCCTTTCAGGTGGACATGAAACATTTATCAAGGCAAAAATCATACAAAGTATGCTCTCTGGTCACAATGGAATTAAATCAGAAATGAGTAACACAATGAACTAGAAAAATCCCCAAATATTTGGAAATTAAGTAACATATTTCTTATAACTTACTGGTTAAAAAGGAAATTACGAGGGAAGTTAGAAGCTATTTCAAGATAAATGTTAATTAAAATACAACAATCAATCAATCAAATATAACATATCAAAATGTGAGGGATACACTTTAAAGCAGTGCTTGAAAATAATTTAGTTTTAAACATTTACATTATAAAAAAGGTCTAAAATCAATCATTCAAGCTTCTACTTAAAGAATTTAGAAAAAAAAGTGCAAATTAAACAAATAGAAGTAAAAAAAAGAAACAGAAATCAATGAAACAGAAGATGGGCAATCAATTGGAAAAAATGACATCAAAGTTGGTTCTTTGAAAAGAAAAAAGGAGAAAAAAAAACTACAAATGATCAATATCATGAATAAAAGAATGCATATCACCACAGATCTTATAGACATTATAAGAATAATAGGATATTAAGCATTTGAAATCATTCAACCTACCTCTTCGAAGGAATATTTTTCTACAGTATGAAGAGCATCTTGTGTCTCATTCCACCCTCCAACAGAATATATACAGTCATTGAGTGCAGCTACACCAAGGTATGCTCTCCTGGTTCCCATTGGAGGAAGTGGAGACCAACGCTTAGAAAGTGGATCATACACTTCAAAAGAACGAAGCTCTATTCCTTCATTGCTGATACCCCCAATTACGTAAATTAAACCTGGAAACAGAACAATTTTACTCAGATGCTACAGAAAATAGAATATAAACAGTTATAAAGAGTAATAGTTGTGATTTATGTCTGCTATGTTAGGGACACCTGGGTGGCTCAGCGGTTGGGCCTGTCTTTGGCTCAGGGTGTGATCCTGGAGTCCCCGGATCGAGTCCCACAACAGGCTCCCTGCATGGAGCCTGCTTCTCCCTCTGCTGTGTCTCTGCCTCTCTCTCTCTGTGTCTCTCATGAATAAATAAAATCTTAAATATATATATATATATATATATATATATATGTCTGCTATGCTGATGCCATATTTAATGTACTGCTCACGTTATCCTCTGAAAAGAGAAAACGGACTTCTGTCTCATGTATTATCTCACACTCAAGCATGTTACAAAGAATTAGAGGTATAAAGTGGCATTTAAAGATTTTATTTATTTATTCATGAAAGACACAGAGACATAAGTAGAGGGAGATGTAGGCTCCCTAAAGGGAGTCTGATGGGGGTCTCAAACCCAGGACCCCGGGATCACAACCTGCCCAAGGCATCTGAGCTACCCAGGTGCCCCTAAAGTGGCATTTAAAGGGTACCTGGTAGCTCAGTTGGTTAAGTGTCAGACTCTTGATTTGGATTCACGTCATGGTCTCATATTCGGGACACTGAGATCTGTGTGTCGTTGTGCTCCATGTTCACTGTGGAGTCGGTTTAAGATTCTCTCCCTCTCCTCCTGCCCCCCTCAACCCACATGAACGTGCTCTCTAAAATAAATAAATCTTAAAAAAAAAATTTAGCAGCATTTATTTTTCAAAGAACTTACAATGCCGTAACAAAACAGTCAGACAAGGTTTTCCCATCTTACTGTCTGCTTGATGAGCTCAAGTTCCAGAACCACTGCACCATAAAGTAAAATAGGAAAGGGAGAGGGATTTTTTTTTTTCCCCTAAAAAACGCCATGCACTTAAACTGGGAACGATATGACCTTGTTTGGTGACAGCCTACATGTTGCTCAGACGGATATAGAGAATTGAATTCAAATTAGAATAGTTATATAGCTAGGTTAAGGTATTCAGGATTAATCACTAGAATACAATAGAACATAATTAACAGTGAGTTTATTATTTTTTTAAAGATTTTATTCATTTATTATGAGAGACACAGAGAGAGAGGCAGAGACACAGGCAGAGGGAGAAGCAGTCTCCATGCAGGGAGTCTGATGCAAGACTCGTTCCCAGACTCTGGGATCCCGCCCTGAGCCCAAGGCAGAGGCTGAGCCACCCAGGCATCCCACACAGTGAGTTCCTTATTATTTTTTTTAAGATTTTTATTTATTTATCCATGACAGAGACAGACAGACAAAAAGACACAGGCAGAGGGGGAAGCAGGCTCTGTGCAAGGAGCCCAACATGGAACTCGATCCCGGGTCTCCAGGATCACACCCCAGGCAGAAGGCAGTGCTAAACTGCTGGGCCACTGGGGCTGCCCCGAGTTTCTTATTAAATTTGATAAATAAATAAATAAATAAATAAATAAATAAATAAATAAATAAATAAATAAATAAATAAATTTGAGACTAATGGTTCTTTTTTTATTTTTAAGATTTTATTTTATTCATGAGAGACACACAGAGAGAGAGAGAGAGACAGAGAGACAGAGAGACAGAGATACACAGGCAGACGGAAAAGCAGCCTCCATGAAGGGAACCTGATGCAGGACTCCATCCTGGGACTCCAGGATCACACGCCCTGGGCTGAAGGGAGGCACTCAACCACTGAGCCACCCAGACGTCCTGAGACTAATGGTTCTGACAATCTACAATTATTTTCTTCCTTTCTTTCTTTTCTTCCTTCCTTTCCTTTTAAAAGTTTTATTTATTTATTCATGAGAGACAGAGAGAGCAGAGACACAGGCAGAGGGAGAAGCAGGCTCCATGCTGGGAGTCTGATGTGGACTTGATCCCGGGTCTCCAGGATCCCGCACTGGGTCGAAGGCTGCACTAAACCGCTAAGCCACCCAGGCTGCCCTACAATTACTTTCAAATGCCAGCATTGTTTCTTATATTCTAAAGTGAGAACCTGTTAAATTATAAAGAATGGCATTTTAAGAAATGTGAGCTTGGGTAGCCCTGGTGGCACAGCGGTCTAGCGCCGCCTGCAGCCCGAGGTGTGATCCTGAAGAACGGGGATCAAGTCCCGCGCCGGGCTCCCTGCAAGGACCTTGCTTCTCCCTCTGCTTGTGTCTCTGCCTCTCTATCTCTCTCTCTATGTCTCTATGAATAAATAAATAAAATCTTAAAAAAAAAAAGAAAGAAAGAAATGTGCGCTAAATGTCAGTGAACTTGGGTTCCAGCTCCAGCTTTGCCAGTAATCAGCTATGAGAAAAGACAATTCACAACCTTCCTGATCTTCAGCTTGCTTATCTATAAACAAAGGAGAAATAGATAATCTCCAAAATGCCTCTCTAGCTCTATGATTCTAGAAAGCGCAATACTGTAATTTGTAAGAAATACATATTTGGGGGGCACCTGGGTGGCTCAGTTAAGCATCTGGGTTATCTCAGGGATGTAGCCCTGCATTGGGCTCTCTGCTCAGTGGAGAGTCTCCTTCTCTTTCCCACTGGCCCTCCCCCCCTGCTAGTTCTCTCTCTCTCCCTCTCTCTCAAATAAATAAAATCTTTAAAAAATAAAATTACATAAAAAAGAATACATATTTGGTCATTCAGATGACCAAAATACATATTTCTCATCTACATTTGGTTTTCATCCACAGTTCCTTGCTCACTGCAACCCCAGACCCTAGGAATTTCCAAAGTGTTGAGAATGATAAGGGTGTCTTGTTATGTTAACGAGCTAACTTTTGGAAAGCCCTTAAGGATGTGGGCTGCTAGCCAAAGGAGCCAAATTTAGGATTTGAGCATTGGGAACTTTCAGTCTCAATCCCTGACCTCTGGGAAGAGGAGAAGACCTAGATGTTGGATCAATTACCAAATACCAATAATTTTAATGCCTATGTAATGAAGCCTCCATAAAAATCCAAAAGGACAGGGTTTGGAGAACTTCTGGGTTGGCAGGCGCCAAACCGCTGCGCCACCCAGGGATCCCCAGTTTTTGAGATTTTATTTGAGAAAACAAAAAGATTTTATTTGAAGGAAGGAGAAAGAGCATGAGCAGGGGGGAGGGGCAGAGGGACAGAGGGAAAAATAGATTCCCCACATGGCAGGGAGCCAGATACCAGGCTCAATCCCAGAATTCTGTGATTACAACCCAAACCAAAGGCAGACACTTAACCAACTGAGCCACCCAGGTGCCCCTGAAGATTGTTTTTTATATCCTCTTCCTACTTAGAAATACTTACTAAAGACTGTATGGGAGAGAAAGTGACAAAGATGGACGAAAGTTCAAAAGCTTATTTTGTTAGTCAGGTATTTGTGTAATTTTTAAATCTAGCTTTGTTTATTTTGGGAAAAAACTATTATTTTGGCAATACAGAAGTAAAGATATAAGAGGTTAAAACATAAAATATTAAAAGCAGGACTCCTGGGTGGCCTAGCAGTTAAGGCATCTGCCTTCAGCTCAGGGTGTGATCCTGGAATACCAGGATAGAGTCCTACATTGGGTTCTCTGCATGGAGCCTGCTTTTCCCTCTGCCTATGTCTCTACCTCTCTCTTTCTGTGTCTCGAATGAATGAATGAATGAATGAATGAATGAATGAATGAATGAATAAAACCTATCTATATATATAATGCAATACTTCTATACTGTTAGTGCCAATCATTCAATACGAACAGACATAAAATAAAGGTTTATGAAAATAAAGCCTCAAGCTTAGTTTTTTAAAAAAAATATTTTTACAAGGAAAGTAAAAGAGGGAGCAGGGTGGCTCAGTCAGTTAAATATTTGACTCTTGATTTTGGCCCAGGTTATGATCTCAGGGTTGCTAAGACTGAGCTCTGCATTGGGCTCTCCAATGAACAATGGTGCCTGCTTCAGATTCTCTCTCTCCTCTCCCTCTGCCTGTCCTCAAAAATAAATAAATAAAACAAATTTTCAGGAAAAATTTTTTAGAAAGCAATTACCTTGCATTTCACAACACCCAAAGTAGTAGCGCGACATAGCCATGTTGCCAACTACTTCCCACTTATTTTCATCAGGATCATATCGTTCAATGGTGTTCCCTATCTCAGCTCCAACCCATCCACCTGTAACCAAATAGAAAAATGTCATTTCTGGATAAAGAGTCTTATCTATGAAAAATACCTTAGAAAACATCTAATCTAGCAACTTTATATTGTGAATGATTATCACATGGACCAAAGAGGTTATTTGTCTAAGATCAGACAGAAAGTTAGAATCTGACCATAAAACTTATATCTTAACTCTCTGCCTAGTTTTCATTAGAGATTTAAAAAATAAACAAAATAAAACCAAAAGCTCCTACTGCTTAGGAAATAAGGTATTTTGCAAAACTATCTTTTGAAACAACTTCTGCATATTCAGAATGGTTATCTTTATCATGGATTTAACTAGTTAGATAAAGTGCTTCACTCGACATGTTATCTACACTTTACCTCCATCTCCTAAGAACTCCATACTTGACAATATTCCGCAAGTAATTCAATTTTGAAAATAAAAATTTAGGGGCGCCTGAGTGGCTCGGCTCAGTCAGTTAAGCATCTGCCTTTGACTTAAGTCATGATCCCAGGGTCCTGGGATTGAGCCCCTCATCAGAGACTCCCTGATCTGTGCGGAGCCTGTTTCTCCCTCTCCCTTTGCCTGCCACTCCCTCTGCTTTTGCACTCTGTCAAATAAATAAATAAAATATTTTTTTAAAAAATTATAAAGCTGGGCAGCCCCGGTGGCGCAGCGGTTTAGCACCACCTGCAGCCCAGGAAGTGATCCTGGAGACCCTGGATCGAGTCCCATGTCAGGCTCTCTGTATGGTGCCTGCTTCTCCCTCTGCCTGTGTCTCTTCCTCTCTCTCTCTCTCTGCATCTCTCTGAATAAATAAATAAAATCTTAAAAAAAAAAAAAAAGAAACTAGGAGTGATGATTTAATAAAAAATTATAAAGCTGAAAAGACATTAAGTTGCTTATGGGAGGGAAGAAAAATGCCTAAAGTAATTAGAATCTAAGAACTTAAATAATATTAGACATCCTTAAACTGAAAAGCATAATTACCCAAAGCATAGATAGCCCCATAACACACACACACTCCCAAGCCACAGCGGGGGTGATTCATTGAAGCTACAGTTGTCCACTGTTTAGTAACTGGATCATAGCATTCGGTACAGTCAAAAATCATTGAATCCTTTTCACCTAAGTTAAATAAAAGAGATATATCAGAAGGTTTAGTAATGCTAATAGCCTAGAACCATAATACAGTATTTAGTAGCATTCCATGTTATCAGAAATTCATTCCTTGGGCAGCCCTGGTGGCTCAGCGGTTTAAGCGCTGCCTTCAGTCCAGGGCGTGATCCTGCAGACCCGGGATCGGGTCCCACATCAGGCTCCCTGCGTGGAGCCTGCTTCTCCCGCTGCCTGTGTCTCTCTGCCTCTCTCTGTGTCTCTCATGAATAAATAAATAAAATTTAAAAAAAATTCACTCCTTAATGTCTGATTTTATACTATTCATTAAAATTAATTTGCTCAGTGTTATTATGAATCAATAGCATTGTCATTTATTAAAGCCCACTTAATGGGGATCCCTGGGTGGCGCAGCGGTTTCGCGCCTGCCTTTGGCCCAGGGCGCGATCCTGGAGACCCGGGATCGAGTCCCACGTCGGGCTCCCGGTGCATGGAGCCTGCTTCTCCCTCTGCCTGTGTCTCTGCCTCTCTGTAACTATCATAAATAAATAAATTAAAAAAAATTATTAAAAAAAAAAAAAAAAAAAGCCCACTTAATGAAGCAAGGCATAGTTTTCCTATTATCTATTTCTAATTCTACCACCCAAATAATCCATGTAAGTTTTGAGGATAAAATTTGTACTTTAAAACTTTTTTTTTAAATATGGATTTTTTTAATTTTTATTTATTTATGATAGTCACACAGAGAAAGAGAGAGAGGCAGAGACACAGGCAGAGAGAGAAGCAGGCTCCATGCACCGGGAGCCGACGTGGGATTTGATCCCGGGTCTCCAGGATCGCGCCCTGGGCCAAAGGCAGGCGCCAAACCGCTGCGCCACCCAGGGATCCCTATAATGTGAATTTTAATGCAATCCTTATCTAGCAAAAAAGAGAAAATAGGGGCAGCCTGGGTGGCTCAGTGGTTTAGCGCTGCCTTCAGCCCAGGGCCTGATCCTGGAGACCCGGGATCGAGTCCCACACCCGGCTCCCTGCATGGAGCCTGCTTCTCCCTCTGCCTGTGTCTCTGCCTCTCTCTCCTCTCTGTGTTTCTCATGAATAAATAAATAAAATCTTAAAAAGAAAAGGAAAAATTTCTAAAAAGGTACCACTTAAAATAGAACTTTAAAATATACTATACCTAGAAGTAAAACTAATTAGATTGTACAAGACCTCTGGCAGATAAAATTTATAAACTTCATTTAGATATAATTTTAAATTAAGGAATATGTAAGCAAATAAAGAGATATATGATGTTCATGAATTAGAAGAGTCAATGTAAAGATGATTATCCCCAAACTGATTTACAGATTTAATGTAATCTCAACTTGAAACACATTTTTTATTGTGATAAAATACAAGTAACATAAAATTTACCATCTTAACCATTTTTTTTAAAGATTTTATTTGAGGGCAGCCTGGGTGGCTCAGCAGTTTAGCACTGCCTTCGGCCTGGGTGTGATCCTGGAGACCCAGGATGAAGTCCCACATCGGGCTCCCTGCATGGAGCCTGCTTCTCCCTCTGCCTGTGTCTCTACCTTCTCTCTCTCTCTCTCTCTCTCTCTCTCTCTCTGGGTCTCTCCTGAATAAATGAATAAATTTTTTTAAAAAAAGATTTTATTTGAAAGAGACAGTGGGGCAGGGAGAAAGAGCATGTGCGCACATGTGCAAGCACATGAGCAGAGGGAGGGGCAGAGGGAGAAGGAAAAGCAGATTCCCAGCTGAGCAAGGAGCCTGATGAGTGGCTCAACCCCTGGACCCTAAGATCATGACCTGAGCCAAAGGCAGACACTTAACTGAATGAGCCACCCAGGCACCCCATCTTAACCATTTTTAAATGTAGAGTTCAGTAATGTTAAACATGTTCATAGTTTTGTACAACCATCACCACTATCCATCCCCAAAACTCTTTACATCTTGTAAAACTGAAACACTACTACAGATTCAAACAATAACTCCCCTATCTCCCCCCCTTCTCCAGGCAACCATCATTATACTTTGTCTTTTATGATTTGTCTACTCTAGGTACCTCATATAAGTGGAATTATACATTATTTGTAAAAATAGATTTGGCAAAAGAAAAAAACAGATTTGGTGAACTGGTTCTAAAATTTATATGGAAGTACATACGCCCTAGAATAGCCAAGTAGTCACACACAAGAATAATGAGAGAAACTATCCTATCAGATAAGCTTATCAGACTTAAAACAGAGGTATAATAATTAAGATAAGGATATACAAAGACTGAACAGAACAGAAATTCTAGAAACAGATACACACATATATGATTACCTGATATATGACACAGTTTGCATACACAGCAGTAGGGAAACAAAAGCCTTTTATGCTGGGATAATTGATTATATATACGAGGAAAGGATGAAACTGGTTCTCTATTCATACTAACTAAAATCTCAATTAGCACAACAGGCCGGAGAATGCATGTCCAGTAATGATGGCTGCACAACTAGTGAATATGCTAAATAAATAAATAAATAAATAAATAAATAAATAAATAAATAAATAAAACCACTAAACAGTATATTTTAAATGGTGATTATTTTTTTAATTTTTATTTATTTATGATAATCACACAGAGAGAGAGAGAGGCAGAGACACAGGCAGAGGGAGAAGCAGGCTCCATGCACCGGGAGCCCGATGTGGGATTCGATCCCGGGTCTCCAGGATCACGCCCTGGGCCAAAGGCAGGCGCTAAACCGCTGTGCCACCCAGGGATCCCTGATATTTTTTTTTTTTTAAGATTTGTTCATGAGAGACACAGAGAAAGAGAGAGAGAGAGAAGCAGAGACACAGGTAGAGGGAGAAGCAGACTCCATGCAGGGAGCCCAACGTGGGACTCGATCCCGGGACTCCAGGATCATCCCTGGGCCAAAGGCAGGCACTAAACTGCTGAGCCACCCAGGGATTTCCCTCAAATGGTGATTTTTATGGTATGTAAATTATATCTTAATTTTTAAAAATAGTACTTAGAATATTAACCCAGATATGTATGTAGAAGGAAATAAACCAAATATTGTGATTATCTCTGACAGGATTAGAGTATGGGTGATTTTTATTTTTTTTCATATGCCTCAATTTCAGCAAAATTCTCTATCACAAATCTACATTATTTTGATAATAAAAATTATATATTATAAAATATCTTAAGATAGCAATGTTGATAGTATTAATAATAATAGACAAAGTTGGGCACCTGGCTGACTCAGTTGGTAGAACATGTGGCCCTGAATCTCGGTCATGAGTTTACAACGGGTGTGGAGTCTACTTATAAATACATTCATACATAAATAATCTATTTTATCATTTATTTAATTTGTGAGAGAGAGTGTGTGCAAGCACAAGGGGGAGGGGCAGATGGAGAGGGACAAGCAGACTCTGCACTGAGCAGAGCCCAACATGGGGCTTGATCTCACAACCCTGAGATCATGATGAGACTGAAATCAAGAGTCAGCTGCTTAACCATCTGAGCCACCCAACTGCCTCTTAATGAACTGTTTTAAAGGGACAATTATGGGGATCCCTGGGTGACTCAGTGGTTTGGCGCCTGCCTTTGGCCCAGGGCATGATCCTGGAGTCCCGGGATCGTGTCCCACATCGGGCTCCCTGCGTGGAGCCTGCTTCTTCCTCTGCCTGTGTCTCTGCCTCTCTCTCTGTGTCTCTCATAAATAGATGGATAAAATCTTAAAAAATAAAAATAAACATAAAGGGACAAATATGTTCCCTCCAAAAAAGAAGTAAAAACCAAATATTCTCTTTATCTCTCTTATCTTAAACTGATGGTATCATCAGTATCATAGGTAATAAATAATAACATTTTCAAGGGATGCCTGGGTGACCCAGTTGGTTAAGCAACCAACTCTTAGTTTCTACTCGGGCTATGATCTCAAAATTTTGAGGTCAAGCCCTACATTGGGCTAAGCACTGAGTCTGCTTGAGATTTTCCCTTTCCCTCTGCCCCTCCTGGTAGTGCTCTCTCTCTAAAATAATAAACAAATAAATCTTTAAAATAGGTTTTTTCAATTTACAACCTTTTGTGTTTTAGACTAACCCACAGAAATAAGGCATAAAGATTAGTTGTAAGGGTTAGAGATGACCTAACTAGGCTTGCTGCTATAAAAACAAACTATCCAGAAGTAAATATTGATATAAAAGTGTTAGTATTTATTTTTCTTTAGATCTTCCTCTTATAGGGCAGCCCTGGTGGCGCAGTGGTTTAGTGCTGCCTACAACCCGGGGTATGGTCCTGGAGACCCGGGATCGAGTCCCACGTCAGGCTTGTTGCATGGAGCCTGCTTCTCCCTCTGTCTGTGTCTCTGCCTCTCTCTCTCTCTCTCTCTCTCTGTGCCTCTATGAATAAATAAATAAAATCTTAAAAAAAAAAAGATCTTCCTCTTATAATTAGTTCTCCCCAATAGTCAAAACTCCTTTACTTAATTTTATTAAACATTTTACAATTCATAATAGTTTCAGAAAACACAGTGATTTCAATCAGGAAATATATGCCAATGCCTAGCTGATTTGGTTTTTATAAATTGCACTGTCCAGATAACTTGTGTAATTAAAAGTGATTTGTAATGAGCTTCCAGTATATGAAATTAAATTTCAAAATTAAAACAGTTTTTATCACATTGACCTAAATTTTGGTGTATTTTATATACAACTTTTCCTTAAAACCAAACCTAAATATTCTGTCTTGTGATAAATCAAAGTATTCCTCTGGTCTGAAACATTCAATATCTTCTGTTTCTTTTTTTTCATTCATTTATTCATTATTCATTAAATATTTATTAAGCACAATTATATCTATGTATATCCCACATTACCTAACAATATATATGAGTCTATAAGAATGCAACCAGCTTACAACTAGAGACTGAGAAGGGAAAAAAGACATTTTCATTATTACCTCCAATAGCGTAAACCATCCCTCCCAGAACTGCTACTCCCAGCCCGCATCGAGCCTGATGAAGTGAAGACACAGTGGTCCAATACTGGCTAAAGGTGTCAAAACGTTCTACACAGCTGAGAGCTCTGCTATCACTCCAACGACCCCCCTGCAACCGAGTATATCCACCTGAATGAAGGAAAAGAAATATATAGCGAATACTTTACTGCTAAATATGGAAATGACAGTAATGAGAAAAACCTAGCCCTCTACATCTTGACAGTCTATATTGCATAGCAAGGAATAAGTGCTTTCTTTTTATTCTTTCCTTTCTTCTTTCTTTCTCTCTCTCTTTCTTTCTTTCTGGAATAAGTGCTTAGAACCTATCATACGTACATATATTATTCTTAAATGAGCCAAGTCCTGAAAGATTATGGCTTAAATGCAATGAGGCCAACCATAGTGTTATATCACCTGGTTTGGGTTATAATACAATGTTAGATAAAACATAAAAGGAACTGATTATCTGTCTAGTTAGGAGGTCTCATTATGACTTCTATTAGTATCTTTTTCACTTAAAAATAGTGAGTTGAGGGGTGCCTGAGTGGGTCAGTTGGTTAAGCGTCTGCTTTCAGCTCAGGTCATGACCCCGGAGTCCTGGATCAAGCCCCCACATCAGGCTCCCCGTTCAGTGAGGAGTCTGCTTTTCCCTCTGCTCCTCATCCTAATTGTGCCCTCTCTTACTCTCTCTCTCTAAAATAATAATATCTTTATGGGATCCCTGGGTGGCGCAGCGGTTTGGCGCCTGCCTTTGGCCCAGGGCGCGATCCTGGAGATCCAGGATCGAATCCCACGTCGGGCTCCCGGTGCATGGAGCCTGCTTCTCCCTCTGCCTGTGTCTCTGCCTCTCTCTCTCTCTCTCTCTGTGACTATCATAAATTAAAAAAAAAAAAAAGAAAGAAAAAAGAAAAAAAAATAATATCTTTAAAAAAATAGTGAGTTGAAACCTTTAACTGCATATCCCATAGTAAAAAATTACAGTATATACTCAAAAATTACATATTTATGTTATAGCATACATGAAATTATACATATAATTATATACAAATTATAAATTATGTTATGAAGTATACATGAAATATGTCCATAAATTTGGACAATTTGTCTAAATATACATCACATATTAATAAGATTTAATGCTTTTTAAAGTTTAAAATATATTTTAATGTGTTCATCTGAGACTCCTGTGGATTATCCTGCAACAACTCACACTTCAGAGACCATTGGTTCCTATAATCCCTAATCATCTAAGACACCATGAGTAGTTAAAATTTTTGAGATTTTCCTTATTTTTCATTAGAATTCACATTTTTAACCTTTAAAGCAGTATTTCGTAAGTTGGATTTTTTTGGCGGTAATTGGGCAATCTAAGAACCCAACAATTTAAATCACAGAATAATAGATGTCGAGTAAATAGCTATTTATTCTTAGATGTAGCCACTGTAATTAAACACAATTAACTAATTTGTAGCTTATATGTGAAATTAAATATGCCTTTTTGACACACTTGCATATTCTGATGTTTAAAACAACAAAAAATAAATAAATAAAATAACAACAAAATATTAAAAGGTTTTAATCCTAAAAATAAAGATTATTTGTATCATTTTTTAAAAAGTTCTCACCTACTGCATACAGGTACTTTCTTGCTTTCTTCCGAGGTCGAACTTTAGATGTCTGCAGAAAACTACAAAACTTGTTCTCTTTGGGAGATTTGCACACCTCACAGTACTCTTTCAAAAGTGTTTGCAATGCAACACGAAGATTAAAATCGGATACTCCTAAAGCAAGTTTAACAAGATACTGTTTTAATCAACTTTTAAGCAATATTGAAAAGACATGTTCCCATAAAGATAAAACATTTATCAAAAAATAAAAACTCATCATCAACCAATGGTGGTTGTTTCCCACAATACCAAATATTATTTTTCTCATTGTTACTAAAGAATATACTTTTCTGGGGATGCCTGAGTGGCTCAGCTGTTGAGCACTTGCCTTTGGCCCAGGGCGTGACCCTGGAGTCCCGGGATCGAGTCCCACATCGGGTTCCCTGTGTGGAGCCTGCTTCTCTATCTGCCTGTGTCTCTGCCTCTCTCTCGCTGTGTCTCTCATGAATAAATAAAGTCTTAAAAAAAAAAAAAGAATATACTGTTCTAGGGGTGCCTGGGTGGCTCAGTGGTTGAGCATCTGCCTTTGGCTCAGGTTGTGATCCCGGGGTCCTGAAATCAAGTCCTGCATCAGGCTCCTCACAGGGAGCCTGCTTCTCCCTCTGCCTATGTCTCTGCCTCTCTCTCTCATGAATAAATAAATAAAATCTTAAAAAGATATACTTTCCTTAAATCAAAGATTTTTTTTAACAATATGCTTCATAATATCTAATTTGAGGATTTTTTTTTATTCTCTAATTTGAGGATTTCTAAACAAAGATGGCAAGGTAAAATAGGATAATGATTATCTAACTAAATAGAAAAATAAAATAGCCCAATATTCTACACTTAGGACTTAATAACAAAAAGATAAAAATTAGTCACATACTTAAAAAAATAATAGTCAAAGCAAGAAACAAAAGATTCTAGTGGCATGAGGTCCGACTTTGAGCATGATTAGGTAGATTGTTCCTGCTCAAGGATGCTTAGTTGAGGTGAAGTGGGGATAAAAGTCAAACTGTGTCCCACTTGGCAAGCTATAAGACCTGGTCCCTTGAAAGGGCACTATTTTCTAATTTGCAGAAAGGCACCATATATGCTAGCAAGGGACTGCCTCCAAGCCTTGTCCCTATTGTCCAGAAGCAATTTTGAGCAAACAAGGTCAATTAACTAAATCTTGAGAATTCTCACTAATGACTAATATTTTGGAAAGGTAGAATGAGCAGATAAGAAGCAGAACTGAGAAATCAAAGAAAAAACAAGAAAACTACAAGAAGTCCTTTATAGGACCATTGGTCTTTACCATCTAACAGAGTATAGTACTAGCCGAAGTCCATACTAGTGAGACACATCCTTAGCATCCTTAGCTGGGTTAAGTAAGCCCTGATACGAGATCAAGAACAAAATCTTAGAGAGAACTCAGAGCCCAGGTCTCTAAGCAAATATCTAAGCCTTAGCTGATCTCTGTTCTTCTACCACCTTCATACTCAGGCTAGAAAGAAGAGGAGAAAACACAACACAGTCCTCAAATTTTATTTTATTTTTTTAATTTATTTTTTATTGGTGTTAGTACTCAAATTTTTTTTTAAGATTTTATTTATTTATTCATGATAGTCACACAGAGAGAGACAGAGAGGCAGAGACACAGGCAGAGGGAGAAGCAGGCTTCCATGCAGGGAGCCTGACATGGGATTCAACCCCGGGTCTCCAGGATCGTGCCCCGGGCCAAAGGCAGGCGCCAAACCGCTGCGCCACCCAGGGATCCCTACTCAAATTTTAGATAGAAGTTACACTAAGGTAGAAAGGATATCAAGAAGCATTAGCTCTTCCATTATCAGAGTGAACTGGTTTGAATAGAGTTGCCCAAGTTATACATGAGAAATATATCAAGAAATAACAATACAACTATTAAAATATATCCCAGGAAAAAGAAGAGAGATTGAAGAATTCATTCTGGAAGAAAACATTAGCCACAAATGGAAACAGAGTTGCCATACTGACTTCACAGGATGGAAATACTTAAGAATACAGATCTGGGGCACCTGGCTGGCTCAGTTGGTACAGTATGCAACTCTCAATCTCAGGATCTCAGGGTTGTCTGTTCAAAGCCCTGCGCTGGGGCAGCCCGGGTGGTGCAGCGGTTTAGCGCCGCCTGCAGCCCAGGGCGTGATCCTGGAGACCCTGGATCGAGTCCCACGTCGGGCTCTCTGCATGGAGCCCGCTTCTCCCTCTGCCTGTGTCTCTGCCTCTCTCTCTCTCTCTGTGTCTCTATGAATAAATAAATAAAATGTTAAAAAAAAAAAAACCCAAAGCCCTGCGCTGGATATGGAGCCTATTTAAAACAAAAAATTTGGGATCCCTGGGTGGCGCAGCGGTTTGGCACCTGCCTTTGGCCCAGGGTGCGATCCTGGAGACCTGGGATCGAGTCCCACATCGGGATCCCGGTGCATGGAGCCTGCTTCTCCCTCTGCCTGTCTCTCTCTCTCTCTCTCTCTCTCTCTCTCTCTCTCTCTCTGTGACTATCATAAATAAATAAAAATTAAAAAAATAAAACAAAAATTTTAGGGGATCCCAGATGGCTCAGCAGTTTAGCGCTACCTTCAGCCCAGGGTATGATCCTGGGGACCCAAGATCGAGTCCACATCAGGGTCTCTGCATGAAGCCTGCTTCTCCCTCTGCCTGTGTCTCTGCCTCTCACTCTCTCTGTGTCTCTCATGGATAAATAAAATCTTTAAAAGTAAATAAACAAAATTTTTTTTAAAGAATATAGATCCTATTTTAAAAAAAGAGCTCCAAAACAGAATGAGATGCCTTGCTAAGGAAACAAAGTGAGAACTTGAAATGATAGTACTGCAGACTTAATAAATTAGAAACAAGAAGCACAGCAGACATGACTAAAAAACTATCGATTTAGACTAAAGACTTAAACAACTGTGAATACATAGCAAAAGAAAATATTTTAACATTAGATGATAAATCTGAAAGACCAAGAAATTCCAATAAAATGATGAAGACTGACACTCCTGGGCTGCTCAGTCAGTTGGGTGTCTGACTCTTGATTTCGGCTCAGGTCATGATTTCAGGGTGGTGGGATCAAGCCCTGAGTCAGGCTCTGCACTCAGCGTTCAGTCTGCTTGTTCCTCTCCCCCAGCTCCTCCTACCCCTGCTCTCATGCTCTTTCTCTAAAGTAAATAAATAAAACCTTAAAAAAAAAAAAAAAAGGATGAAGGCTACCAAACATTAGAAGTATTGAGAAGTCTCATATAGGAAGATTTCCCCTAAATGAAGGAAAAACCGAACCTTTAAAAGGAAAGGGTATATATTATATTCTAATGAAAAATGACAAACTTTAACACAAATCAAGAGTAATAAAAATAAACAAATGCCATTACCATTGCCTACTGTCATATTTCAGAGAATAAATAAAGCTTTATATTTGCTTCCTGAAATAACTGATCAGTTATTACTAGGTAATAAAACAATGAGAACTAAGGTTTTATCTTTTTTTTTTAAAGAATTTTTTTTAAATTTATTTATTTATGATAGTCACAGAGAGAGAGAGAGAGGCAGAGACAGAGGCAGAGGGAGAAGCAGGCTCCATGCACCGGGAGCCCGACGTGGGATTCGATCCCGGATCTCCAGGATTGCGCCCTGGGCCAAAGGCAGGCGCGAAACCGCTGCGCCACCCAGGGATCCCGAACTAAGGTTTTAAAACAATGAATCTATTCTCATAGTTCAAAAGTACTTTTAGGGGGTGCTTGGGTTGCTCGTTGGTTAAGCATTGACTCTTGATTTCAACTTAGGTTATGATCTCAGGGTCAGGAGATCAAGCCCCAAGTCAGGCTCCACACTCAGCATTGAGTCTGCTTAGGATTCTTTCCCCTTCCCTTTTCTTCTCCCTCCCCCTCTGCTCCTCCCCTCCTCCCATTTTCTCTCAAAATAAATAAATAAAATCTTTAAAAAAGTTCACTGAGTCCTAGGGAGGTAGGCGGGGAACAGTTAAATATATGATGGGGATTAAGGAGTGCACTTGGTGTGATAAGCACCAGGTGATGTATGGAAGTGTGGAATCACTATATTGTACACCTGAAATTAATATTACCCTGTATATTAACTAACTGGAATTCAAGTAAAAACTTTTTAATTTTTTTAATTTTTTTTAATTTTTATTTATTTATGATAGTCACATAGAATGAGAGAGAGAGAGAGGCAGAGACACAGTCAGAGGGAGAAGCAGGCTCCATGCACGAGGAGCCCGACGTGGGACTCGATCCCGGGTCTCCAGGATCGCGCCCCAGGCCAAAGGCAGGCGCCAAACCGCTGCGCCACCCAGGGATCCCAAGTAAAAACTTTTTTAAAGGATCACCTGGTGTTCCAGTGGTTGGGAGCCTGCCTGTGGCTCGGGTCATGATCCTGGGGTCCTGGGACCTGGATCAACTCCCACATTAGCTCCCCGCGGGGAGCCTGCCTCTCCCTCTGCCTTTCTCTTTCTCTGTCTCTCGTGAATAAATTAAAATAAAATCTTAAAAAAAAAACTTTTTAAAAAAGCACACCTGGGTGCTAATCTTTTATATGAGTTGATACTAATCTTTTGGGGAAAAAATAACAAAATAATTCTTCAGGCATCTAAGCAGAAAAAGCAAATCATTTAAAAATAAGGACCAAGTCATAAACTTTGATTGGGGGCAGGGAGGAATATCATCATAACTTAAAAATATTATGCTGGGGGGTAGCTGGGCAGCTCAGTTGGTTAACTGTCCCACTCCTGATTTGGCTCATGATTTCATGGGTCATGAGATCAAGCACTGTATTGGGCTCTGAATTCAGCAGGGAGTCTGCTTGAGATTCTCTCTCTCCACTCCCTCTGCCCCTCCTCCCCCTTGAGAGTGCGTGCACTCTTTCAATAAATAAATAAATCTTAAAAAAAAAAAATTATCCCCAGGGCAACTAGGTGGCTCAGTCAGTTAAGCAACCAACTCATGATTTCAGCTCAGATCATGATCTCAGGCTCATGAGATTGATCCCTGCATCTGCGGCATGAGATTCACCTTTTCTCTTTCTTGGGTCTTCCCTTTATATGCATGGGTGTCCAGCACCTAGCTGGCCAAAGTGAGAGTTGATGGTTGTTATCAAGCAGTTATATCCCTCTGTTAGAAGCATCAGAGAGATTCCATTTATGAGTTTTTAAAAAATCTTATTCATTTATTTGACAGAGAAAGAGACAGAGCACAAGCAGGGGGGAACATCAGGCAGAGGGGGAGGGAGAAGCAAGTTCTCAGCTGAGCAGGGGCTCAATCCAAGGACCCTGGGATCACAATCTGAGCTGAAGGCCAACACTCAACTGACTGAGCCACCTAGGCACCCCTCCATTTATGACTTAAAGCTGAGCCTTCTAGGACACATGTGCTGAAATAGCACCTATAGATAATGCCCACATTCATGTTTCTAATTTCCAAGGAAGGGTAGGGGCTGGGGCTGGAGATGAGGTTGAAGAATATTAGGTTAAGCTGTAGATTGGAAGACACCTGGGTTCAAGTCCAGGCTTTACCACTTACTAAATATGTGATAGGGACAAATTACCCAATCTCTCTGACTTCAGTTTACTCCTCTGTAAAATGGAAACGATTAAGAGTAAAACCTTTCTATACTGTGAAAATTACAGGGTACATGGATGGCTCAGTTCATCAAGACTCAGACTCCTGATTTTGGCTTAGGTCATGATCTCATGGGTCATGAGACTGAGCTTATGTTGGACCCTACTCAGAAAGGAGTCTGAGATTCTCTCTCTCTCCTTCTGCCCCTCCTCCTGCTCACGGCACAAGCCATGTGCTCTCTCTCGCTCTCTCTGAAAAAAAAATCTTAAAAAAAAAAAAAGAATATTATGCTCATCCTTGAGGTGCCTGGATGGTTCATTTGATAGAATGCACGACTCTTGATCTCAGAGTTGTATATTCGAGCTCCATGTTGGGTACAGAGATTACTTAAAAAATAATTTTAAAAATCTTTTTTCTTTTTTTTTAAGATTTTATTTATTTATTCATAGACACAGAGAGAGAGGGGCAGAGACACAGAGGGATAAGCAGGCGACACGCAGGGAGCCTGATGTGGGACTCGATCCCTGGTCTCCAGGATCACACCCCAGGCTGCAGGCGGCGCCAAACCGCTGCGCCACCGGGGCTGCCCAAAAATCTTTTTTCTTTTAAGATTTTATTTATTTGAGAAAGAGAGAGAGAGCGCATGCGCGAGCGCACCAGCAGGGGGCGTGGCAGAGAGAGAAGCAGGCTCCCCACTGAGCGGGTGCCCAATGCCGCACTTGATCCCAGCCTGAGATCAAGACCTGTGCTAAAGGCAGATGCTTAACTAACTAGCCACCCAGGTGCCCCAAATTTTAAAAATCTTTTTAAAAAAGTAATATTGGGCAGCCCGGGTGGCTCAGCGGTTTAGCGCCGCCTTCAGCCCAGGGCGTGATCCTGGAGACCTGGGATCAAGTCCCACGTTGGGCTTCCTGTTTCTCCCTCTGCCTGTGTCTCTGCCTCTCTCTCTCTCTCTCTCTCTCTCTGTGCCTCTCATGAATAAATAAAATCTTTTTAAAAATAAATTAATTAATATTGAAACATAAGGGGTGCCTGGGTGGCTCAATCAGGCTCCCTCCCTCTCCCCCTGCTCATGCTCGCTCTCTCAAATACATGAAATCTTTAAAAATAAAAAAAATTTGAAACACAAAACACTCTATGTTTAAATATACTAGAATTAAAATTTTCAAATAATAAAAACAAAAAATAAAATTGCAACACAAAATGAAACTTTTAATCTTTTAATGATTTTCTTTTTTTTTAAATAAATTTTTATTTATTTATGATAGTCACAGAGAGAGAGAGGCAGAGACACAGGCAGAGGGAGAAGCAGGCTCCATGCACTGGGAGCCCGACGTGGGACTCGATCCCGGGTCTCCAGGATCGCGCCCTGGGCCAAAGGCAGGCGCCAAACCACTGCGCCACCCAGGGATCCCCTCTTTTAATGATTTTCATCTTTTGTCCTTAACTGGTTAAGAACTTTTTAGAATGAGTACTTCCTGAGATAAAGAAACGTTCATCTGAAATTAGTTATTACTTCCCTTTCTTTAACTTTTAATGAGATTTAAATATACTTTTTGTATTATATAAATAGTATGTACAGAATGATTTTTTTTTTAAGATTTTATTTATTTATTCATAGACACAGAGAGAGAGAGGCAGAGACACAGGGAGAGGGAGAAGCAGGCTCCATGCAGGGAGCCCAACGTGGGACTTGATCCCAGGTCTCCAGGATCACACCTCAGGCTGCAGGCGGCGCCAAACCGCTGCGCCACCAGGGCTGCCCCCAGAATGATTCTTATATTTTTTTGTTTATCCATTCAACCATACATCCACCCATCCATCATTCATCCTCTTATACAGAAATATCTAGAATGATGTTTATTGAATGTTAATTATAACTGGTTATTTCTGGGTAGTGGACTTTGGGGGAATTTGTTGTTTTATTATCCTTTATTACCTACACGTTTGTAGGAGAATGTACCATTTTTAAAAAGTAGTCATTCTCTAAAATGGCGAGAAATAGATGTATTATCATATAGGTAGTACTATTAAATCTCCTGAATATTCCAGTGATAAATACAAAAAAATATATGTACTGGAAGAAAATCTACATATTTCACATAATTTAACCATTTCTTTTTTTTTAAGATTTTATTTATTTATTCATGAGAGACACACACAGAGAGAGGCAGACATAGGCAGAGGGAGAAGCAGGCTCCATGCAGGGAGCTCAATGTGGGACTAGATCCCAGGACTGTGGGATCACATCCAAGGCAGGTGCTCAATTGCTGAGTCACCCAGGCGTCCCAATTTAACCCTTTCTATTAAGTTTTTTGTTCTCTCTGAATTTTGTGGTAGAGTCTCAATATTTTTCTACATAAATTGCCCACTTTTTCTCTAATATGATCAAAAAGAAAGTTTCAAAGTTGAAGTATCTTAAAATCTTTTTTTAAAAAAATCCTCCATTTGGGACACCTGGGTGGCTCAGCGGTTTAGTGCCTGCCTTAGGCTCAGGGCGTGATCCTGGAGTCACAGGATGGAGTCCCACACCGGGCTCCCTGCATGGAGCCTGCTTCTCCCTCTGCCTGTATCTCTGCCTCTCTCTCATGAATGAATAAATAAAATCTTTTTTAAAAAAGGCTATATATATCAATATGAAATTAATTTTATAATGAGAAGACTTACAGGATTTATTGAATTTGGGTTTTGTTTTTAGCATATGCATTTTCCTCAAATGTCAGGTTTTGCTGAATTTTTTAAAGAAGCATGAGGAAATCTTACACTGAAATAATCAGTACTACCCAATACAGCAGTGGTGTTTTAGCTCTGTGAATAATTTTATATATAGCTCTGATCTTAGTATTTAATCTCAAGAAAGATATGTAAGGATTTGATTAATATAATGGATAGAAATCCTGAAATACTACTAACTGCAAAACACAAAAGTTGTATCTTGCATATAATAATCATTCAATAAATGTTTGCTATTGAACTGAAAAATGAAAACATTATCACATTTCAAACAGGAAAAGACACTGGATATTGACTTATTTGATATGCAAAAAAATTATTACCTTCTATATACTTTAAAAGCCTCTGAGGAGGTAATAAAGGGAATCGAATTGGTTCTAGTACTTCCACCACATGTTTTCTTCTTTTTCCCAGGTCCTTCAGAATCCATTGCATTGCAGCTAAGAAGACCTGATACTCATCCTCAATACTGAGCTCTTCGCTTCGCAAAATTTTGATCAATTGATCTTTTGTAAGTGCCAGGAACTCTTCCCCACTATGAACCTCTAAGAAATGGACATGAATGTAGTTTTCTGTGAATTCCAAAAGGTCATGGCAGGCAATTTGCTCAGAGAACTGAAAGATCCCAATGCAGTTCAATGGATCAATCTGTCTTTTCAGAAATTCACAGCACAGATTAACAACTTCAGTCAACTGTAGCATGTCTGCTGCGACAATCAGTTCCTGGACGTTATTCACACCTATGTTCACTATACCTGGGAAAGTAGGGAAACAAAATGAACAAAATAAACACAAACATTTGATTTATATTAAAAAGCATTATACTTAATTCCACTGATGGCTTAGAATTTGCTGATAAATGCTAAATAAAAAAGCAACAAAGGATTTGTAGAAAGAGTGCAAAATTTAAATGATACCTAACATTTATGGAACACTTACAATGACGGATTCATTGCTTTATACATTCATTTAACTGTCCCTAAAACCCCATATAGTAGGTATTATTTTTTCTTTTTCTATCAATTAAACAAAGTTTATTTATTATATATTTTTAAAACTTTAAGTTGGCTCCACATCCAGCATGGAACCCAATATGGGGCTTGAACTTACAACCCTGAGATCAAGACCTGAACTGAAATCAAGAGTCAGATGCTAACCGACTGAGCCACTCAGAAATCAGAAAGTTTGGGATCCCTGGGTGGCGCAGCGGTTTGGCGCCTGCCTTTGGCCCAGGGCGCGATCCTGGAGACCCGGGATCGAATCCCACATCGGGCTCCCGGTGCATGGAGCCTGCTTCTCCCTCTGCCTGTGTCTCTGCCTCTCTCTCTCTCTCTGTGACTATCATAAATAAATAAAAATTAAAAAAAAAAAAAGAAATCAGAAAGTTTAAATATGGGCAGCCCCAGTAGCTCAGTGGTTCAGTGCCGCCTTCAGCCCAGGGCATACATTCTGGAGACCCAGGGTGAGTCCCAGATCGGGCTCCCTGCATTGAGCCTGCTTCTCCCTCTGCCTGTGTCTCTGCCTCTCTCTCTCTCTATCATGAATAAATAAAATCTTTAAAAAAAATCATTAAAGAAAAAAGTTTAAATATCTCCAATCAGGGGCGCCTGGGTAGCTCAGTGGTTGAGTGTCTGCCTTTGGCTCAGGTCATGATCCCCAGATCCTGGGATCAAGTGCTACATCAGGCTCCCCACAGGGAGCCTGCTTCTCTCTCTGTCTCCTGCGCCTCTCTCTCTCTGTCTCTCCTGAATAAATACATAAAATCTTTAAAAAAAAAATTCGTAAGCCCCTAAACTGCACTCTCTATAAAGCTCTGAGAAGACAGCAGCCCTGCCTGTCTTGCTTACTGTCATATCCCTAGAGCTTAGCTCACGGAAAGTATTCATATGGAGCACAATGCTGGCTCCATCAGCACAGCATGTGTTTCAGGGGTTCTGAGTTCAAACCCCATATTGGGTATAAAGCTTTTTTTTTTTTTTTTTAAAGATTTTATTTATCCATTCATGAGAGACACAGAGAGAGAGGCAGCGACACAGACAGAGGGGGAAGCAGGCTCCCTGTGGGCAGCTCCATGTGGAACTTGATCCTGGGACTCCAGGATCACATCCTGAGCAGTTAGGCAGATGCTCAATGGCTGAGCCACCCAGGTGTCCCTAAAGGTTATTTTTCTAAAAAAAGTATCCATAAATATCTGTTGAAAGAATGAATGATTAAAGTTAAATGGAAATGTCTTGTATCATATATCACATAGCTAATTAGTGATAGAGCTAGATCACAAATCCAGGTTATTTGATTCTAAGTATATAAATATCTATTGTGAGAAATATCTGTAAAGACCTATCAGCACCGGAGCAGCCCCGGCGGCGCAGCGGTTTAGCGCCGCCTACAGCCCGGGGTGTGAATCTGGAGACCCAGGATCGAGTCCCGCGACCGGCTCCCTGCATGGAGCCTGCTTCTCGCGGTTTGGCGCCTGCCTTTGGCCCAGGGCGGGATCCTGGAGACCCGGGATCGAATCCCACGTCGGGCTCCCGGTGCATGGAGCCTGCTTCTCTCTCTGCCTCTCTCTCTCTCTCTCTATCATAAATAAATAAAAATTAAAAAAAAGAATGAGTTGTATCAAAGACTGCAAAGTTCCCTGTCCAGTAAATACTCAATATTCATTTTCTTTTCATCCTTATAAGGTTCTGTTAAGGGCAGCCCCGGTGGCGCAGCGGTTTAGTGCCGCCTGCAGCTCAGGGTGTGATCCTGGAGACACGGGATCGAGTCCAACATCGGGCTCCTTGCGTGGAGTCTGCTTCTCCCTGTGTGTGTGTGTGTGTGTGTCAAGGATAAATAAAATCGGGGATCCCTGGGTGGCGCAGCGGTTTAGCGCCTGCCTTTGGCCCGGTGCAAGGAGTCTGCTTCTCCCTCTGCCTGTGTCTCTGCCTCTCTCTCTCTCTCTCTGTGTGTGTGTGTGTGACTATCATAAAAAAAAAAAAAAAAAAAAAAAAAAAAAAAACCTTAATTTTGTTGTGGGTGGTAACTGTGCCCTTAGAGATAGGGATAAATGTTTTACTGTTTGGCCAATGGGTTATAGACAGCAGTTATTGGACACAGCTAACAGAAAAGCTTAAAAAAACAGCACAGACTCAGCTAGCAGGCCCTTTGCATTTCCCCTTCCTCCTTCCACTGGCTGGAATTCAGCAATCGAGAGATTAGAAGCTACAAGCTATACATGGTAGAGCAAATTGTTGGGAGACTAACAGACACTAGTGACATCATGAAACCACCATACCATCTTTGGGACACCTACTATGAATTCACTTTTGTGGAAAAATAAACTATCTTGTTAAGCCATGTGATAGCTTTTACTAGTAGCCAAATTCTGTTCTTAATTTTTTTTAAGATTTTATTTATTTATTCATAGACACAGAGAGAGAGGCTGAGACATAGGCAGAGGGAGAAGCAGGCTCCATGCAGGGAGCCCAATGTGGGACTCGATCCCAGGTCTCCAGGATCACACCCCAGGCTGCAGGCGGCGCCAAACTGCTGCGCCACCGGGGCTGCCCCTGTTCTTAATTGTTTTATCAATTTTAGCCTTAAATGTCAATATTCTAGAATGTTGTTTCTCCCAGGTATACTCAACAGCTTTTATTTCTCTGAGTTTTACTACTTTTTATTTATTCGATGCAAGTGCTAATCACCAATATGGTGATAGTAGTGGGAACATCTTTCACTAAGTATCTCTTGTTGCTACCCTTAGACAAGAAAGGCAGAATAGACACTTTGCAGCTTTTCTTGTTTTTATGTAGTTCAACACTAATTCCATTGGATTAATCTGTGTTAATTTACATTTTGCAAATAAGAGAAGCAGGACATTTATGAAGCTGTTTTCAGCTCACTCAAGGCATTTACAAAAGGTAAAAAAAATCCCTCAATGCTAATTTGCATATTAGCCAATAGATAAGGCTGAATTTTCAGTAAATAAAAGTCATTTTTATAATCTCCAATTAAGAGTTATTTTCAGATACTTTTGCAAAACGTAGTATGAAACAACACAATAAACCTCCTTTTGTCATTTTCCAGGTTTAAGTACCATGCATTAAATAAAGAATACTTTAGCAGGTCACATAATTATCTTCCAACAAGTAATCCTTTTTTTTTTTTTCAACAAGCAATCCTTTAAGGACAGCATGATGACCAAACATAGTTTTTGTTTTCAAACATTTTTTTCCAATTATAAGAGTAATATATATTCACCACACACACAAAAAAACTTCAAAGCAAAAAAGTATAAAAACTAAAATCATGCATTTTCCCACAGACATACACTATATTAACACTTCAGCATCTTTCTTTCAAATCCTTTTTCCATGTATGTTACATACCATATAAAACTTATACTTCATAGTTTTTTGTGTACATTTTCTAATGTTATTAAAACTCTTCAAAAACATTTTATTTTATTTTTAAAAAACATTTTATTTATTTATTCATGAGAGACAGAGAGAGGGAGGCAGAGACACAGGCAGAGGGAGATGCAGGAGCCCGACGGGGGACTCGATCCTGGGACTCCGGGGTCACACCCTGGGCCGAAGGCAGGCGCTAAACCGCTGAGCCACCCAGGTGTCCCCAAAAACATTTTAAAAATAAAAGTTTTAACTAAAATACATACATACCGATTATAAATATTTTAAGAGGCAAAAGAAAAAGAAGGAAAAATAAAGATCTTCCATATTCCATGAGCCAGAGATAAACACTTAGTAACATTCTGGTCTTTTTCCTATGTACAAATACACATAATTTTTTTCTTTACAAAACTAGAGCAGTATTTATATGCAATTTTTTTCATTTAATATTTTGTAAACACTCTTCCATAATATATTTATTTAAATAATTTGAGAGATTTAAAAAATATTCCATGGTATATAATGTGCCACAATTTATTTAATCATATAACCTACTGAAGGATAATTAATTGTATTCAATTATGTACTGTTATACATAATGTTACAATACACATCCTGGTACATAAACATTTGTCTGTAACACTAATTCATTCCTTGATTCCTAGAAAAGGAATACTGAGTCAAAAGATAGAACTTTTCAAACACTCATAATAACATACTATCGAATTACTTTCCATATAAGTTGTATCAACTCATTGCAATGAGTGAGTGATTACATCATTCTTCACTCAAAGCTATAGGCTCATTTAACATACCTGTATAAATGAAATCTAGAAGTATTTGAAAGATTCCAGCTTCAATTCCTAGAATCTGTACAACATCTTTTGAGGACTCTTTCATTCCTCCAGTGAACAAAGCTGCAAAGTAAGGACTACTGGCAGCCAAAACCAGTCGATGAACTTTAAAAGTTTCCTTTCCAACTTGTAACTGCACATCACAGAAATGCTCTCCATTCCTCATTTTATTGACCTGGGCCAAGATGAGTTGGGCATGTTTATCTGATGAAAAAGGACTATCACCAGCCTTAGGACAGGCCTCATTAGCCATGATGGTGACAGATTAATTAAAAGGACTGTTGCCCATAATCTGGTCCTACCCTGAAAAAAAAAATAGAAGGAAGTAAGATAAAATATTTTTGTGTTTAACACATCTTCTATTTACACACAAATCAAATATTCCCTACCTTCAAGAAGCTTACAATCTATTTAGGGACATAAAATACACATGAAACAAGTAAGAACTAAAGCTGTGTGGTACTATTCCTAATAGGGTTTCAGGAAGGGAATAAATAATAAGGCCTAAAATAATTGGAGGATGCCTCACAGTAGAAATGGGACCTGAACTGGATGCTACAAGATAAATATTAACATATGAGGAGAGGGCATAAGCCCTTCTGGGTGAAATAAAGAAAATAAGGTACAAAGGTAAAAGTTTTTGTACACTGTAGTAGGGAAGCATACACTCAAGCCAGAATGAATTTTTAAAAAAGAAACTGTGATCAGGCCAACTGTCTGCTTACAGTCCTTCAATCTGACACTAAGCACACAAAGCCCTTCAAATCTCACCTCCATCTACCTGTCCAGTCTTATCTCCCGTGCTCTTCTTTGAACTTAATACTCCAACAAAACCTAACAATTTGTAGTTCTCTAAAAGTGTCTCTTTCAAGATATCCTTCCCCACCTTTTCCTTTTGGATCTTTGTTATAATTCAAGACTCTGTTCATACATAATTTCCTGCAGAACTTCCCTGTTCCTCTCTCCTCTGGATTTGGTGCTCACCCTAAATTTACTTATTTTTTTTTAAAGATTTTATTTATTCATTCATGACAGACACACAGAGAGGGAGAGAGAGAGAGGCAGAGACACAGGCAGAGGGAGAAGCAGGCTCCATGCAGGGAGCCTGATGTTGGACTCCATCCCAGGTCTCCAGGATCCGGCCCTGGGCTGAAGGCGGCGCTAAACCGCTGAGCCACCAGGGCTGCCCTAAATTTACCTATTTTAGTGCCTATAGCACGCTCTATCTTGCCAGACACTCTACCACTCTATTCCCTACAGACACACACATCCTCTGAAAGCTTCCCTTTTTCTAAAAAAAAAAGATTTTATTTATTCATGAGAGACACAGAGAGAGAGAGGCAGAGACACAGGCAGAGGGAGAAGCAGGCTCCATGCAGGGAGCCCAATGTGGGACTCAATCCTCGGACTCCAGGGTCACGCCCTGAGCCAAAGACAGACGCTGAACCCCTGAGCCACTCAGGCGCCCCTGTGAAAGCTTCCTGAAACACAGTTCCTTAAAGTTAGGAACTATTTTTCATATCAATAGCACCAGTACCTAAGATATATTAGGTTTTCAAATATTTGTGAAATGAACAAGTACAGTGAGAAAATAACAGCTTAGCTTGTTTTTGTCTAACTACGATAGGCTCGCCACACATTCTGCCATTTGTAATCCTCACAATTAAGAGGCTGGAAGAAAAGATACTGTTATTTGAAACCAGAGAGTAAGAAACTGAAGCTCAAAGCTTCTCAAGGACACAGCATTAGTATAATGAGAGTCTCAGTATTTGAATCTAAGTCTTAGTACTCTAAATCCTGGGCTTTTCCTACCAGATCACCCACGCAGTAACTATTAGGACAACCTATAGAGAAAAGGGTTTGAAACCCAAATACAGACATTGAGGAATGAGCCCTTATGGACTCAAGGGTAAATTGTCATGTCTCAGAACTGTTACATGTACTTTCCAGGGGATGTACGGAGAGGTAGCAAAGACCTGAAAACAGCCTTACAGCTTCAACAATGAGAATTGAAAGGATAAATCCAACTTACTTTTTAAGTAAAGAAACCATGAGATCCGGTAATATAAGACATTTGAAGATGAAGCACAGGGAAATCTTAAAACGACTACGGTTCTGTAATCTAGGCGTCAAAGGGAACTAGTAATAAAACTGACAGAAAGGTGTGGGCTGATATTAGAAAAAAGTGGCTACATTTACAGCGCTTAAACTTATCAAAGTAAAACTAATGAAGCTGGTTATCATGATTATCTAGGAATTGAGAAATTTGAGAAGTTCCAGAGCAGCTGCTAAAATTTCACATCAGCATTTACAGAATGTCAACATATTACATTTAACTGGCATATAAAAACAAACAGTGCATTTATCTCTACATAGAAATTCGACCTGCAGATATTATTAAACATGACATAGCTGTGAGGCATTTTTGTTTTAGATTTCTTCCTGTCACCAGAGTTTGGAGTTACAAGGCACCTCCTCTATCCCAGCTTCAAGTCATCAAGCACAGCCACTGAACTAAAACGTTGCCTCCTGCTACAAACGAGCTCACTGAACACCCATCCACTCCGGTAGCAGACAGCAGAAATCCTAATCTGTTACCATGCTTCTTAGTAATTGCTGATACTATCCCGCTGCCAGTGAAGAACTTCATTTCCAAAGGAACGAGTACAACTAACTCCGGGACACTGCACAGGAATGTGAGGGACGTGGTTCAAGAGACCTAAGCTTGAATGGGAGATTATCAGGTGGAGAAGCCCGGAAGTAAAGACCTATGTTTGGTGTCCTTGACTTTACCGCCGAGAGCATCGGGAAGCTGCTTCAGCAAAGGATGGCAGAAAGAGCAAGCGTTTAAAAAAAAAAAAAAAAAGGGGGCGGCAGCAGCTGCTCTTGGGCAGCCCGAATGGCTCAGCGACTGGGTGTCTACCTTCAGCCCGGGGCGTGATCCTGGAGACCCGTGAGGAGCCTGCTTCTCCCTCTGCCTTGTCTCTGCCTCTCTGTGTGTCTCTCATGAATAAATAAAATCTTAAAAAACAAAACAAAACAAAACAAAACAACGGAGCTCTTCGCGCCTGAGTGAGAACCCCCTAAGCTGCTGCAACTCTACAAGCGGATAAACATTCGGCGCTACCTAAATGACGGAGAAGGCATCCGCCACGGGCTGGGGCTGACCGGCTGCGGGCTCGGCCTTCGGATTCCCGGGTGGGGGCGGGGAGAGGAGAGGCAGGAGCGGAGCCGACCAAGCGAGAAGGTGCGGACGGAAACACTTGGAATAGGAGCCCGGCCTGAGCGGCCGGAGGAAGCGGCTCCGGAGGCTCCTCTGCTCTGCTCAGGGAGCCCGAGAGCCGCAACCGCGAAGAGGTCGTTCCCAACCCCGTCACAATCGCGCCCAGACGCAAGCCCTTCTTACCCGCCGCTTCCCCTTCCCGCCGGCGCCCGCTCCGGGCCTGCGCGCGCAGTCGCCACCCGCGCCTGCGCGGAGAGGGCGGGGGAACCCCGGCTGAGCCGCCGAGGCGGAGGTGGCTGGGCCCCGCGAGCCGCCGGGGGCTGGAGGCGACGCCAGGCCGGCCTCAGAGCGCTCCTCGCGCGCTGCCAGCGCCGGTCGGCTGTGCGCGTGCGCAGTGTTCTTCGGCTCGCGGGGAGCGGCCCTGGCCCCGAGCTAGTGTGGGAACCGCCGCCCGCGACCTGCGCGGCTGCAAGTCCCAGCTCCTGCCTGCTGGGGTTGGCCCGCCGGACCGTCCCACACCGCCTACGCCCTCTCCACTCTTGGGGTGTCCCAGGCACCTAGCGAACCTCATGGTTAAAGGAAAGACGGAGACGAGCCCCCGGCGCTGAGCTGCTCCCTATTCTTTTTTTCTGAGATTTTTTAAAAAAGATTTTATTTATTTAATCATGAAAGACACACACACAAAGACACAGGCAGCGGGAGAAGCAGGCTCCACGCAGGGAGCCCGACGTGGGACTCGACCGTGGGTCTCCAGGATCACGCTCTGGGCTGAAGGCGGCGCTAAACCGCTGAGCCACCAGGGCTGCCCTGAGATTTTTTAAAAAAAAATTTTTTTTAATTTTTTTTATTTATTTATGATAGTCACAGAGAGAGAGAGAGAGGCAGAGACACAGGCAGAGGGAGAAGCAGGCTCCATGCACGGGGAGCCCGACATGGGACTCGAATGGGTCTCCAGGCTCGAGCTCTGGGCCAAAGGCAGGCGCCAAACCGCTGTGCCACCCAGGGATCCCAGATTTTTTTTTTTAATTGAGACATATAACATTAGCTTCATTTACAACGTGATTCGATATTTCTGTCTTCTCTTTATTCCTTACCATTCACTCAAATCATTTTCTGAGTTTGCCTGACCAAGCCTGGCATTTGGATGGATGCCTACTTTGAGCGAAGGGGGGACTCAATGTCTGACTGTCGAACCTCGTAATATCCCACATTCGTGGCTTTCAAATGTTTTGACCTCAGCCAACGGTGAACAAAAACATTATGCTTCAAACCCAATGATACCACATATGTATATATAGATGTGTATATCTGAAACAATTTCACAGAACTATATACTTACTGCCAGCAAGGCACTGAATTTCTATTTCTTTTCGATTTATTACCCCCCACCCTCCCAAAAAAGGTAAGAGGGACCCGTTGTCAGAAAAATTATTTTCAAAGACTTGGAAATGAACAAAAGCAATTACCTGGGTGCCCTTCTCGTGTAAGGCTGGGCACTGCCTAGCAGACTCTGGAAGGATTTGAGTCCATAAGGACCTCTAACTTTCTATTAACTAAGCTATTTTGCAAGAGAATAGGTGTTTAAAATGAATCTTGTCCACTGTAGAAAAGATATCACAAAAAACATTATGTTGACCTATGGGATATAAACCACTTTTGCCTTTCAGCAAATTCATTTCAACATTCCTGATTCTTAGCAAATTCATACAGAATTCCTGTAACATTTTCGTGGCTCTCATTAATTAATATAAATAACATTTTTGGCATCTGTTTATTTTCTATTTCTATGACAGTCATAATTTTACCTTTTGGAAAATTATACTTTAGCACCATTAAAATTAATTTCCCAACCTAGTATTGGATTGCACCCAGCAATTTGAAAACTAGTGTATATACCTAGGAGCAGAATTGCTGGGACATATGGCATATACATCCTCTTTTCAAATCTCAGGGGGATTTACATTCCCACCAGCCGTGAATGAGTTCCCTTCCTCCACATACTTGCCAACCCTTAATATCATAACCTGGTGACTGTAAAATGGTGTTTCATTTTATTATAATTTACATTATCTCATTATTTATGAGATCAGGCAGTAAAAAGATGTTCATAAGATACTACAACTGAATTGTGTCTCCCCCCCCCCCGCGCTAAAATTTATGTTGAAGCCCTAAACTCCCAGTGTTTTCCCCTTGAACCCATTTACCCACTATGTACATAAAGAAGAGGTCAAGTGAGCACATGGAGGCGGTAGCTGCCTACAAACCAAGAGAGAAGCCTCAGAATGAAACCTACCTTGTTGGCACTTTGATCTTGGACTTCCAAACCTCCAGAACTATGAGACATAAATTTCTATTGTTTAAGCAACCCAGTCTGTGGTATATTTTTTAAAAGATTTTATTTATTTACTCATGAGAGACACACAGAGAGAGAAAGAGAGAGGCAGAGACACAGGCAGAGAGAGAAGCAGGCTCCATGCAGGGAGCCCGACGTGGGACTCGATCCCGGGTCTCCAGGATCATGCCCTGGGCCAAGGCAGGCGCTAAACCGCTGAGCCACTCGGGCTGCCCTGATATTTTGTTATAGCAGTCTAAACAGACTAATACATAGCCAGCTAAGTTTCTTCTTCCATAAAATGGCTATTCATGTATTCTCTATTCAATTCCTTAGACTATTCATCCATGCCATACTTTTTTATTATTATTATTCATGATAGTCATAGAGAGAGGAGAGAGAGGCAGAGACACAGGCAGAGGGAGAAGCGGGCTCCATGTCTGGAGCCCGACGCGGGACTCGATTCCGGAACTCCGGGATCGCTCCCTGGGCCAAAGGCACGAAACCGCTGAGCCACCCAGGGATCCCCCCCATACTGTTTTAATTACTATAGTTTTGTAATAACTCTGGTAGGACAAGTTTCCACCTTGTCCTTCTTCAGCAGTGTCTTGGCTGTTCCTGGGACTCTGGGTTCTTCCACAGGGACTTTAGAACTAGCCTGTTAAGTTTTACACTCACTTTTACACAAGATAGAACTCCTATTAGAATTTCAATAGGTCGGGGGATCCCTGGGTGGCTCAGCGGTTTCGTGCCTGCCTTTGGCCCGGGGCACGATCCTGGAGTCCTGGAATCGAGTCCCACGTCGGGCTCCCGGCATGGAGCCTGCTTCTCTCTCTACCTCTCTCTCTCTCTCTCTCTCTCTCTCTCTCTCTCTCTCTCTCTCTGTGTCTATTATAAATAAATAAAAATAAATCTTAAAAAAAAGAATTTCAATATGTCTAAAAAAGAAGAATTTCAACATGTCTATAGGACAATTTGGATACAATTAACATCTTTATAACATTGAGTATTCTTATCCATTAACAAAATTAAATTTTAGAATTGTTTTTTATTTATGTAATCTCTATACCCAATATGTGGCTCGAACTCACAACCCCAAGATCAGGAGTTGGATGCTCTTCCCACTGAACCAGTCAGACTCCCTTGAATTATAGAAATTTTAAAAGCTTGTTAACTTTATCCATAAGAATCTTATATATGTTTTATTAAATTTATTCCTGAGCACTTTTATCTTTGTGCTATCCTACATTATATCTTTTTAAGAATTACACTTTTTGTTAGGTATAGAAACTAAATTCACTTCTGTACACTAATTTTATGGACAACAAGCGTACCTCTCTCATTAATTAAAAAATTATAAGTTTGTGGGGTGCCCAGGTGTCTCAGTTAAGTGTCCGACTCTTGATTTCAGCTCAGGTCATGATCTCAGGGTTGTGAGATTGAGCCCCACATCTGGTTCTGTACTGGGTATGGAACCTGCTTAAGATTCTCTCTCTCCCTCACCCTCTGCTCTTCACCCCCTAAAATAAAATTTCTTTAAATATGTGCATCTATATTTATAAATGAGGCCAACCTTTACTTTTCCTTTATTATACTATTCTTTTTTGATTCGAGTATCAAGATGATGCTAACTAACCTTCTAACTTGGATTTGGGAGTGTTTCCTTTTTTCCTTTTTTCTCTCTGCATGAGTTTGAGTAAGGTTGAAATTGAGTAAGTTTGGAAGAGGTTGAACCTGCCTATAAAATTATGTGGCTCCATTGTTTTCTTTATGCAAAGATTTCTACCTGTTGATTCATTATCTTTAATGGTTATAAAACTAGCATGTTTTCAGGGCACCTGGGTGGCTCAGCAGTTGAACATCTGCCTTTGGTTCAGGTCATGATCCTGGAGTCCTGGGATTGAGTCGTACGTTAGGCTCCCTGAGGGGAGCCTGCTTCTCCCTCACCTATGTTTCTGCTTTTCACTGTGTCTCTCATGAATAAATGAATAAAACCTTTTTTAAAATCATATTTTCTCTTTTTTTAAGATTTTGTTCATTTATTCATGAGAGACGCACAGAAAGAAAGACATAGGAAGAGGGAGAAGAAGCAGGCTCCATGCAGAGAGCCCAATGCAGGACTCGATCCTGGGTCCCCAGGATCACGCCCTGAGCCAAAGGCAGACAACCACTGGCAACCCAGGCATCCCAGTTTTATGAGTCAGTTTTGCTATTTTATATTTTTCTATAAATTTATCCCTTTAATAAAATTTTCAAATTCATTAGCACACAGTAAAACAATACTATAGTTAATAATATTCTGAAATTTTAATTTCTGTTGTATTTATAGTTGTGGCTTCTTTTTAATTCCTTTTTTTTTTTTTTTTTAAGTAGGCTCCAGGCTGGGCCTGGAACCCAACATAGGGCTTGAAATCACGACCTGAGATCAAGTCTTGAGCTGGACATCAAGAATCAGATGCTTAACTGACTAAGCCACCAAGGCACCCCTTCTTTTTAATTCCTAATATTTATTAATGACATCTTATCTTTTATGTTCATCAGTCTTGCCATAGATCTCTCAATCTTATTCTTTTCAAAGAACTATCTTTGGCTTTGTTGATCCTCTTAATTTTTTTTAAAGATTTTATCCATTTATTCATGAGAGACAGAGAGAGAGAGAGAGAGAGAGAGAGAGAGAGGCAGAGACACATGCAGAGGGAGAAACAGGCTCCATGCAGGGAGCCTGACATGGGACTGGATCCCGGGTCTCCAGGATCACACCCTGGGCGGAAGGCGGCGCTAAACCGCTGAGCCACCCGGGCTGCCCGATATTCTCAATTTTATCTTTGTTTCCTACTTCATTAA